TATTGCTATGGAAGCTTCGCGGGCTAGACAATCCGAAAGTAAAACTCGACTTCAGCGCTGCTAGTTCTCGTGACCGTTACTGAGCCCACGTCGCAGGCGGAGCCATCATCGTCTAGCTGGCCACATAGGCACATATGTGTACGGGCAGAAACACCTTCTATGCAACCTGTACTTAAATGTACAAATAAATATCTATCTATCTAACTGAGCATGCTCCAGTAAAGTTGGTTCGTATCTCATTCAAACCCGATGTACATACCTATAGTAACACCATCGAGATTGTCTTTTTTTTAGGAGACCACTAACAAGAACTTATCCCGAGCACGCGCTATGGGCAGTCGACTCAAATATGGCGTCCAGTAAAGAGTGGTATTCGTTAACGGCCATAGCTGAGCTCACTGCTGCTGAGCACGTGCTTATGGCAAGCTTAAACACCGCTTCCAACACGCACATTGCGCATCATCAAGATTTTCTTTTTTGGGAGATCATAAATAAAAACTCATGCCGAGCGTGCGCTGTGAGCAGTCCGCCAAATATGTTGTCCAGTGAATGCGTCCAAGTTCGTCAGCTATTTGCGCACCTCGTGAATTTTTCCCCCCAGATGTGGTCAGGTGCTTTAGTTTCTTTCCATCCTCAACCAATCACGGTGCGCGCTTCGCGGTGCCAGTGCTTTTTGATTGGCTTTCCCCTAATATGATAAAACAGCGCACAGACAGCTACTAGCTCCAATTGCTACTTTACTGCGGCTTGTTCCTCGTTGGGTTTCGATGCGCCAAAGAAAGCGTTTTCGAACACTTGCTCGCCGTATAATGCCCGTGGCGCCGCGTCCAGCGACGATGCAATGGCATCGTAGAGATCAAACAAAAATGGTGATGATGGTCTGGGCAGAGCTTGTTGGCGAGGGTGAGGGAGTGACGCTGCGGGATTGCGCAAAAGACATCGCCAGCTGGCGAGCTCTCGAAACACTGATCCTGTTTGTAGAAGCGCATAGAAGTCGCTGTTCTTTTTGTATTTAGAGCGAAGCTCTTAGGCGCCCGTTTCCGTGTTTCAGGGCGTCGACGTCGGCGTAACCGCGCCAAGTTTAGTGGAAAAATTGACATCACGTGACTGCAACAGAAATTCAGTTTCCCCGCTAAATTTAGCGTTGAAAATAACGTCCCATGACCTGGTGTCACGTGACCTATGAACAAATTCAGTTTCTCCGCTAGATTTAGAGAGACAATTGACGTCACGTGACCTCAACAGCAATTCAATTCCCCTCTTAATTTAGCGGGGAATTGAATTGCTGTTCCTGTATCGGAGGAGGAGGAGAGGGTAAGGAGGAGGAGGAGCGCACCCTTCGCTCCGTACCCTGCCCTCCTCCTCTTCAAGAGCTACGCTCTAATTTCGCGTTACAGAGATTTGTAACCATCTTTCAAATGTTTGTTAATAAACCCTGATGGTACTCTTATTCTTATATTTAGTGGTGTTCAATGTACCACCATATTGACTGATAAAAATTATACTGGAGTTCTGGCGAAGAGATCGAACCATAGGTGGCGCTACGTTCAGCTTGTTTTCCCTGAAGTCCCTCTATCCTGGGAAAAGTGGTGCCATTCATTGTTGAAAAAATGCTCGAGGCTAATGCCCCCTATCCTGGGAAAAGTGGTGCCATTCATTGTTGAAAAAATGCTCGAGGCTAATGCCCCCTATCCTGGGAAAAGTGGTGCCATTCATTGTTGTGGAAATGCTCGATACTAAAGCCGCTTCATCCTGGGAAAAGTGGCACCATTCATTGTTGTAGAAATGCTCGAGGCACGTGCCGTGATGGCGCACGGCACATTCATGGCGTCTAAAATCTAGCTCAGTGCTGGGCTGTGTCGCCATGATCTTCCCAAGGGCTGCACGTTGCATGTGCCTCGTGCATCGACGCACTTTGCGCTACTTTTGAAACATCAACGGGCTTTAGTTTTCCCCAGAGTTCTATGTTTACCAACACATGGTACATGCACTGGATTATATGCTTTATCTTTCTCGAATGAGCGCGGGGCAAAGATTGGGCACGACTCGTGCCCAATGTTTTTGCTGCGTCCGCGTTCGACTTCACTGACTGAACCCAAGTCTCTGCCAAACGCGGACGTAACGTTCGGCTTCGTGGGTCGAGCGCTGCGTCGAAACGCCAACAAATAATCTATGTAGTTGTTGTTGTCCCCGTCGGTGTAGTTCTCACTTTAAGTACTAGGGGTCGCGACGCTTGAATCTTCTTCCCAATATATCCGAGTCTCACCGGTAGGTCATATCACCCGAAAACACAAACGAAGTCACCGTCTGAATTCCAGGTATACACAACCTTTACTCTGTAGCATGGTGTAAAATAAATACGAGGTGCGGACACCGCGTGCGTCGTAGTATCCAGATAAGTTCCTCTCCTCGCGTTCGTAGCGAGCGGTGCCACCAGATGGCTCCTTAACATGCGGCTAGCAGATACATGTTTATTTGCGGCGAGAAGTTTCGGTATCGGTGCCTGGTGGAATATTGTCACAACCCAGAGTGAGGATATTTCGACCTCCCCTGCTGGTGCCAACACGTGCAATTCCGAGCCTTCTATGTGCTATAAAATATAAAACATAACCGCGTGGGCAGCACGTGCGCTACCTATAGTGAGGAAAATAGAAGCGTCCCTTCAGAGTTTTTCGCCGCGAAGGCTGCGAGAGTTTGTCCTTCTCAAGAAGATTTGGACAGTCTGGCAACCACAGCAGCGTAGTCTTACAACCGGGGGATGAATATTTCCCTCCGTCATTTTGGAGCTCTGACTCGCAGGAATTTTATGCGATTTATCAGGAATAAAGAAGAGGAAAAAGTAACACCATTTTGTGTTATCGCGAAATCCGCTGGTTCTAGCAGGCAACAGCCTCCGCCCAATGGCCAAACCCTCTCAGTGTAAATGGCTCTGGTGGCTAGCGGTAGCCTCTCGCAGGGCCGGTTTCTCGTGCTTCTCTATAGAAGACGTGCTTTTTTTCAAACAGCTGTTCTCGGTGTGCCGTGCCATGTAGAACTTGGCACTTGCCTACGCTCGTTGCCTCAACAGAGCCTCGTTATATCTAAATTTCGCGCCTCAACGGCGACAAGAACAGTTTTGTGAATGCGTTGAAGCGGACAGACCTTCGGCGCGGTGTTCTGGCTCCCTATGGTCCGCTTTTTGGACTCCCACGGCGACTTGGGAGAAGGAAGTGTCGTCAGCGACGCAGGAAACAAAGATTGGATGCTGATTGGTGAGAGCCGCTGATGACAAATTTCTGTAGAAGAAAACAAAGCTCACTTTTTTTTTTTCTTCTGCGGAAATTCGTCATCAGGGACTCTCACCAATCAACATCCAACCTGCGTTTACTGCGTCACTGAGGTCACTTCCTTCTCCCTAGTCGCCATGGGAGTCCAAAAAGCGCAACATAGGGTGTCAGGCCAGCGTCCGTCAAGGTCGGAGCAAGCGCGCCGAGCGGACATCATCCACGCTCGGTTGCCGTGGCAACAATACACTTCTACGGCGTCTGATTTTCGTTTTCTAAGTTGCACCTTCCGACTGGCGGAGACGCCGTCGTCATTGGCCACTGGGGCACACGCCAATAGGGCTTTATCTGGTTGATCGCGTCATAGCCTTCACCGTAATATATGTCCTCACCACCGAGGTCCCAAGAAGTATCTTGCATAGTGCTTTGGAGTGAGATCGAGTAAATTATGTAACACGTCCAATGTCGTGTTTTCAAAGCCATGAGACAGACGTCATATCAGCTTCCATTGGGGTGGATTTGTTGCTGAGCGTGTACCATTTCGCATGACAGAGTTCGCAGTACCTGATTTGTTCTTCTTGGTAAAAATAACCATATGCATTGCATTTGAGCGCGTGCAGACAGTAAGCGTCTACCGTCTTTATTTTGCACCATCAGTGTTGCGATTCCTGGCATAATATTAGCGGATTTACTTACTCAGCTCGAAGAGGTCACTGGAATAGCAATGCTGCTGAAAAGTTTAACCCGAGACTGGGGAAGAAGGTTTTATAAACATAAACTCGTTGATGTCCTTCGGGCTATACATAGTGCAGAGAAATGGGGTGTGTGTACGTTTATGCAGCCTGAACTTAGTCTGTCTCAATGGGCGACTTGTCTCCCAGCTGTAGATGGGAAATTTAGCCAGTGCAGTACAACCGCTAGCCGGGGGTCTTCAAAGGGATATGAACCAAAAAATTTAGTGTCCATAATAAGTGGAGCACGTTCTTTCCACGAGCCAGCAGCCGCCGGTGTGCGCGAGCACACGCAACGGAAATGACATCAAAGACCTCCATTCGCGCTTAAGAGGTCAGTGAAATGCACGGGCTTCGGGCCAAAGGAGAATAAAGACAGGCTTTTCATCTTTACAAGTAAAAGCTACGTGCTTGTTAGACCAATAAATCGCTTAACTTCTACAGCAGACACCACTGTGTACATTAAAAATTTGTCTTTATTCTCCTTTGGCCCGAAGTCCATACATTTCACTGCCATCTTCACCGTGAATGGAGGTCTTTGACGTCATTTTTGTTGCATGTGCTCGCGCACACCAGCGGCTGCTGGCTCGTGGAAAGAACGTGCGCCACTTAATGCGGACACCGTTTGCTCTACTGACGTCTAACCCCTGGTTAGCTCAGTTGGTAGAGCGCTCCACTTGTAATGGAGAGGTCCCGGGTTCGATACCCGGACCAGGCGGATTTTTTCGGTCGCTCACCAGTCACCTAGCTGTTGTTTTGGAGATTTATGTTTGTCCTAAATTCCATGGTTCAGTATCCCTTTAACGTGCACCACGCATTAGTGAATCACGACCGCAAGCCGGTACGACGCTCATCCAGATCGAAACGGGCAGGGGTGGGGATTGAAGCCGGGATCCCTGGGTTCCTCATAGGGCACATTTCTCCCAGGCTCTGTCGTGAGATCTGCTGACAGTTCCCAACAGACGAATGTGGGCACATTCAGTGGATGCAACGAATAGATGCCTCGTTATAGGGATGATCTATTTTTTATTTATTTACAACAGCACAAAAATGGAAACATAAATACACTTGCACCTCAACTTTATTTGTTTATATAAACAAAAACATCGTCTACAAGAAATGACGCTTTTCTTCTTTTTCTTAGTACACTTTTTTTTCGCCCTTCAGCAAAAAGACCTCTGACTATATTCACACACCACTTTCGTCCAGCGAAAAAGAAAAAAAAAAAAAGAAAGAAGTAGAGGAGGTGGTAATGTCACAGAATAGAAGTAACGTCGCTCTGAAAAATTGAAAAAAAAAAGTAAAGTGCGTATGAAAGCAGAAAGTAGAGTTGAATTAATTTTATAAAACAAAATACCTGATAAAATGCGTGTACGTTACTCATTTATGATATTTTTCCCGTTGAGATTTAGGAGAGGAAACAGTTGGAAGTTGGAGAGGGTAAAGAATTAGAAATGCAGATGTTGAAGAGAAGTAGAGCGCTGTCAGCTTAACAGCGGAAACGGAAACATTCTAAGAGCTAAGTCTCAAGAAGACAACATTCGGTCAGTTGGAGAGCAGAGGCAAATACGTTCATTTGCGGTGTCGCAGCTTTTTGGTCTTGGGACGCTTGTATCCCTTCCGCTCGACAACCTCGTCGTACATCGAAAGAGAGAAATCCGGCTGCAAAATAAAAACAAACGAAAGGGAAATTTTAGGGCTAGGTAAATTTGTCAGCATACGTGCAAAGCGGCCGACAGAATCATCCTTCCCATGTATTCCCAACTACTATTACAAAATTGCTTAAACAGCAATGCGCGTACAATAACAAGATACAAAGTAAATAGATTGGTGTGATTGATGCATGCCCAATTGCTGTGTCTATCTTTATTAATATCGATGTAAGTCAACTGATTCGTGACATCCTAGAAATAAAACAACCAGCAGGTGGAGCGAAAGTTCCTCTCATCTTTCAGATTCAAAACATCTTGTGTTCAATTTCCTATCCTAATGGTTCCGGTATTAAAAAAAAAAAAAATTTAAAAGTCTGGTTTATCGTCGTACTGCAGTCGTAAATCCAAGGAACTGCAGTTCTTACGGTTGTAACTCGAGACGCTACATTCAACGCAAACCATCGCATAAGAGACAGTATCGTTGACTTTCGCGTTTCATCGTTCGCGCTATAATTTCACCACCATCAATTCTGGCGTGATGGTGACGGTTCTTACAATTCGTACGACCCCTTTCTTTCTTTCTTTTTTATGGTTTTGGGCGCATTTAGACAGTGGGACATTATTCAGCCCTTTTACGTTTTGGCGGGAGAATCGACGACTCAAAGACTCTGGCGTGGCTCTGGTAGTGTCTAGTCTCCGGCAACGGGACCAAGCAAAAACCTTTTGCTTGACGTCGTAGCCGCTTATAAAGGCACCAACCGAGCTCTATGCCCCCGTGACAGGGCGGTTATCCAGCTTACACGGCCGGGATAAGCGGTAGCCGCAGTGTAAAACGTCTAAACATAACAGCCCCAATGAACGTTCGATGTCTCCACTGTGGATGAGACATTTTGCTAGTGCAGTACGACTGCTAGCCTGTGGTCCTTAACGTGCATCATGCAGTAGCGGTACACGACCGCACACCGATACGATGCTCAGCCATTTCAAAACGGGCAGTGGTCGGGATTGAACCCAAAGTCTCTAGGTTCTGCGGCGCGAGCTTTTTGTTTGCTGCACGGACTCCTACCTGCGGTTCGTAGACACACTCGACCATCGATCCCCCCTCCCCAAAAAGTAAACAAGAGCCGCCTCACCGATCGCACAGGTCCCAACGTCGGCGACACGCAGCGGTTGCAGAGTGACTGTCCGACACCATCTTCAGCGCTGACGCACTCGCAGATCTGGCAGTCTGGGGCCTCGGACAGGGCAACGCGACGAGCCATGACGTCGATGAACTTCTTGTTGACGTTCCTCTTTTCGAACATCTTCAGCGAGCTGAAAAGGGTTCCGTTGGTCTCCAGGGCCAGCGGCACGCAGAAGTCCTTGGGCAGACGGATCTGGGAGTGGATGTCGGCGTCGCCGTGCATCTCCTTCAGGTCCTTGGCGGTGTAGGCTAGGCGATGGTCCACACCGAAGATGCGCTTGCTCTTGGAAGGCTTGGCAGCCGTACGGACGGCGAAGTCGTCGTCGTCAAGGATGTGCAGGTGCATACCGCGGTCGATCAGCATGCGGTAGATGTCAGTGTAGACCGACTATGAAAGGAAGAAACAAGAAGCAATCAGACGTTGGGTATTCACCCAACTAAAAATAGACGCAGCGAGGGAGGAAAGAGGCCACATAATGCTGTTAACTTGTAGTAAAATGGGTAAACAAAGTCCGAAGGTTGCCAAAGCTTGTAGTAAGAACGTTAAAAATAAGTCCTTCGAAATATTTAGAGCAGCAGACTTCTAGGATCTTTCGTTTAAGGCTTAGCATGTGATTTCCATCTATTAAATTAATTAGGGTTTATGAATGTGATATTCATTTTATTTTATTTAACTGTCCTAGAACAGAATGTGAACAAATGCTGTATTTACAGCTGTTTTGTTTAAAAACGGACTTTGAACAAAGCATAAAAGTGACGAGTGCTGCTTTCAAGAATCAATACAAAAAAATGTCACTAAAGGCGAAAAAAAAAAAAAGATGTCGGCCGATTATTTTCTAAATATCTGGGCCGGGATGTTACATTATCACGGCGTTTTTTGAAAGACTATTTATATCAAGCGAGTTCACCATGAACTCTTGAGGTCACGTTTTCACAATCAACTGAGAAATTCATTTTGCGAGCCTTCTACATGACCCCATTAATCAGAAATCGCTTAGGAGGCCACAGTTATTAATGTTGTTAGCGCGTAGGGGGCTAATTTAGTACTTACTGGATCTTCTCCAGGGGTGCAAGTCGTGCACTTCACCAGCATCATCACTTGACTGGATCCCATTCTGGTGGGCAGCTTCGCAGCGTACTTCAGGGCAGAAAACACATCGCTGTTTCCGTTGCCGACTGTCAGGCTGCTGAAGGCCGAGATGATGGATCGAATGCTGTTGAAGACCTGTCCGTCGGCGGTAACGATGTGTGGCAGTTCAGCTACGCCATCGCCACCGAAGCCCACAACTGCGTAGCGCATGTTGGAGAATCCCTTGGAAGCGTAGCGCTCATCGAGGCCCTGTGCAAGACGGATCAGGTTGGGCATGACGTTCTTGTTGCACAGCTTGCGTTCCACGACGAAGATGACGTCAGCAGTGTTCACAGACTCGTCTTCCGTGACAGTGGTGATTTCGCCGGACAAGATTTCCGAGCCGTCGGGCTTCTCACAGCGCACTGCCCAGGAGAAAACAAAAACATGTTTTTCTTTCAAGACGAATATCAAAGAAAACGACAATTTTGATGCAGCGGGCTTAAAATTAAATTTCATATTTAGCTAGAATACGGCATGATAAATTTAGGGGGCATACTGTTGCCCTTGGGTCAGGGTTGACTTTGCTTTTGTTTTTCACTGGCATTATTGTTGTACGTCCTTTAACCAGAAAAGGACCATATCAAATGAGACGCTTAATGACCGTGCTTTTCATTTCTTTGCTTTTCTTCACAATTAATATAAGAGTGCTTGTGACATAGAACTTACCGCAGGTCCTGGGCATCTCGAGTTCCACGCCAAACTCATTGCACTCCTCCCGGTAAGCGGCTGCGCTGACGCAGGTTGCCTTCTCCATCTGGTCGTAGCTGGCACTGCTCATGTCGTGCAGACACATCTTGAGGTAGGGTTTGGGGTCTACCATCTTGAAGCAGCTCCTGAACACGGACTTCTCCTCCTCAAAGAGGTTCTTGCAGACAGAGGTAGCCCTGCTGTCGGTAACCATAGGCTGTGCCATGTTCTGTTGGCTCCTGCAGCGGCCGTGTCCAACCTCCCATTCGTTGGCGAAGACTGTCGGGTCGTCCGTAATTCTCCTGTCCGGGGTCATCAGGTCAAGCTTGTCCTCGTAGTCGTAAGTTCCCAGAAGGCCGCCAGTCTTGCCGAAGTGGTCTCCGGTGATCTCGGTGACGCACTGGTCGTAGTACAGGTTGCAGCGGACGGTCAGGCCACTGTTGTTCTCGACGATGACGACGTGTCCTTCTCGGCGGATGGTGGTGGCCCCGGTGTCTTGAGGCAGTTCAACCTTGTTGCCGCCCTGCGTGACCTTGTAGTCGGAGCTGATGTCGAATCGCTGCCCGTCGCTGTTGACGGTGATGGACTTCTTGACGACGCGGTGTCCGTCGCGGACGTAGTTGATGATGACAGCGAACTGGTCGTTGAGGAAGTCCTTGGCGAGGAGGTAGCTGCACTCGCCGGCGAATTCGAAGTGGAAGCCGTCGAAGGTACGGTAATGCTGCGGTCCGGCCATCAGGGCTCGAGCTGTAAAAGCATAAATAGAATATTGAAGTGAGCAGCGAACACGTTTTGATGGCATAAATTTTAAGTGACATCATATGGGAAACTGTTGTAAATATGTCGGCAGGGACGCCGAATTATGAGAGGAATCGAATTTATATTGTTTGGAATATTCGTGGTATTTGCTTCTGACCGAGCATAACAAACCAAAATTTTAGCTACACGTCTGCTCTTTATTGAATCACAACTAAATTAGCTGTTCTACGTCAATTATTTTTTACAATGTTTCTAGCAAGATCTTTTTTTCTGTCATCCTTCTGTTACGGGCGCTCGACTATCAAGACGCAAGCAGTTATATCAAAACCTCTTTGCAATTAAATATTTCTATTATATGGCGTAAGCTAGTCATTCTTTAGGAATAAACAAGTAACGCTGCACCCTTGTACAGACGACGCTGAATAGATTTAAGTTCTAGGATGACTTATGAACAAGAAGCATTTTAAATATAAGGTCGATGTTGACGCCCAGGTCTCACTTTGTTCCCGCACTTTCACACCTCAGCTGGACTCACCCTTGAACGGTGGCATCCAGTGCCTGGGGTTGCCGTAGTGGCTGTACTTGTAGTAGGCGTCCCAGACGGAGTTCGCGCCGACACCGTAGTAGTTGTCCTTGAGTCCCATAATCTTGTCGTACTCTGGGTAGCTGGTGATGTCCAGGGCCTCAGCCAGGTTGGCCTTGGACGACGGCAGGCGCAGTTCAGCGCTCATGACGCCTCGCTCGGGAGCATACTCGACGCGCATTCCAGACCGTAGGTTGGAGTACTCGCGAACCGCGTCCGAAAGACCGTTCAGAAGACCGTCCTGAATTTGCTGCTTGCCCATCTCGATGACTCCCGCGGCCATGTCGGGCATGCCCAGCTGTTCGCTGATGTCCCTAGCCTGGAGAAGAGGAAAGCATGTTTTTTTTTTTAGAATCGTCCTACTTGCTTCACCAAGAGGCAGATCAAATGACTTTCTTTTCTTTAAATGTAAACTCGTTGTGAATCACTATGAAGGAATAAATATAACATAATTTATAGTACTGAATAAAGCCGGGTATAATATCCATACCTTGTTTCATTTATGTTCGGAAGCAGCTCAGAAGGCATGAACAGGTATAACTCCAAACAAACATACTAAAATTGCAAGTCATTGGACCTTTACTATACAGGAAGTCCCAAAAATAAATTGCAATGCTTTTTTTTGTTTTGTTTATTATTGCAACAATTAACTGTGCATCGCCGAATGCGCACTCTCCGCCCAAATGTAGCGATAGCGGTCTGAACCAGATTCCCAAGTTTCCGAAGTAACTGTTACCCCTATTCAAAAGTTATAAGCATTTCTCTGAAATTTTCAATGGGAAATTTACGGTCAATGGTGCCCTCCAATACGTGAAGCTGCATAGACCGTGGGCACAAATCCCAAAAGCCCGCGAGCGCCACGCAACGAATAATGGGAGCCCACGGACCACGGTACGTCCCTCTCTTGGTCTTTCCTCCAGCTGCCACGTGGCAAACGTGAGCAGCCGCAGGTTACCATGGCAACAACGTTCGAGCAGCCGAGAGCCGCGTCGGGGTTGCGACGAATAACGTATTCAAATTAGTTAATAGTTATACCTGCCGCAGTGCGTTTACGCTGCCACAGACACGGTTCGCCGCAAATAATGCAGTACGACTTCCGGCGGATAGGCAGGATGGCGGATGGCTGCAGCGGCTGCTGGCGGTACCGCAGTCGCGGAAGCGCAACGAGAATGCGCATGATCTGCACAGAGGGTTCCCGAAATTCCTTGCCGTCGTGGCGTTGCACGTTTTGCAACAGGCCAATTGCGCCAGTTAGCGAAATCTGGTTCCATTTTCCCATTAAAATATTTAAAAAAAATCACTTCTATCTTTGTAATGAGATAACTGTGAGTTCTGAAAGTTTGACATCCGGTTTGGACTGCTAGCGCTGCATCTGGGCAGAGGCTAAGCGTTCGGCAATGCGGCTTATTTTAGAGGTAAAAAAAAACTCTAATTGTTTTGGAACACCTTCTACAATATTCGTTTCGAGATAACAGAACACAAAGAAAAACATAATGAACACCAAGACGCTGCGCTTTCGGGGCTGTTTGACTCGTGTCAATAACTCGTAGCATCGGTTGCGCTCGAATTTAAGGTGATCAAAGTGTAGTTCACGAGCTTACGACTAATACCCTTGTACACGGACACACGTAACTGCACTTACGCCAAGCAACAGTTTGCGTACGATATACTTGCGGACAACATTCTGCGGATATGCAGTCAAAGCTACGGGCGAACGTGCGCTTGAGCATCTTGAGCACCCATCAAAGCAGTGCACGCGCGCTCTTCACTTCTTTTGAAAGAGCTGTCCGAGAGTAAAATGCAGTAACTGTAGTGCCGCGTAACAGCAGTTAAAGCTGAGTTAACCGCGGTTAAAAAGGGTGCCCGTGTAACAGGGCTATAAGAATGTCATAAAAAGTGCCTGGACCCTCTATAGTAAAGAATATATTTCTTAAGAGACCCCGCGCCGACTTATGACGCTTCTTTCAAGAGTTCGTCGCCGATGACTCAGTCTTAGAGAAGACTGAGTTAGGGCCTCAAATACATAACTACTTAGCAATAGACTAACCTTTCTGGCGATGTTCTGCGCCATGTTCTTGACGTACTTGACGTGCGGGTGAACGAGGATGTTGTCGGTGACTTCAATGACGTTGTTGGCGACGGTGTTGTAAGCGTAGTAGCTTCGCCTCTTGATAGATTCCATGCTGAAGGCGTTCAAGGTGGCGCACACACGTTCCACGTAGCGGTACAAGCCTTGAACCAGGGGGTTCTTTGCAATGCTCTCAATGATGGGGGCCGTGTACACTGAAACATCAAACGTGTTGTTATAATTAGTGGTAAATATACAATATAAAGGCAGGCATAAGTATTTCATCTTATTTCATTAATGTGAATGAATGTTTCGGCAAGCATAACCTTAAACCACGATTGCTGGAAGCGGGGCATCCTACCCTTTCTGTGCGAAATGCTTCAAACCAGTAGTCTAAAACAATGTAAGGATTCATGACAGCTACGGTGTCGCGAAACGTAGAAGATTAGAATGGAACCTTAGATAGAACAAAATAAACGTATTATGTTAATTATCTAACAATATCAAGCTATGTGGTAATCATTTCTATAAAAAAATCGGACGTTTTTGTTTTGTTTTTTTTAGCCCGGAGGCTAGTATCTGCCTTAAGATCTAAAATTATACCATGACAATTTAAAGGAAAGCTGGCTCTTCCTGAGAAGAAGGTCTCGGTGCGAGTCCAAGAATAAATTGACTTGCACCTGAAATGGAGCGCAACTCGCGCCTCCTAGGCGACTGGTGGCCGCTGAAAAATTTCGCCCCCTTTGAAAATTGACTCTGACACTAGCGGAGCACTCTACGAACTGAACTAACCAAGAGCTCGTCGTCAGCCCAGCAAAATGACGTTAACAGTTTGTCATGGGGTTTGTTCGTAACTCTCACAAGGATGAACTCAGACGTTTGATGATGAGATAAAATGTGTTAGGCAAACTCTCCAAATGTGGAGATGATATACGCAGGAATACTTCTCGAGTGGAAGTCAACTTATTCTTGCGCGACTCTGCTTCGCATGGGAAAATTTCTCTACATCATTGTATCGAGACTAAAGACAGTCAAATTGCTTAGACATCATACAAAGGACATGATGTTTGCTGCGGACATGAAGACAGAACTATTTACGGACACGCCCTAAGCACGTTTGTATACTTTGACCAGCTGCAGGGACAGGTTTTGTGTGCCCAATGAACAAGACCATCATACAAGGCAGAAGCATGCCTCTGACAGCGTCTGCAGACTGTTTTTTGTATGATGCACTAGAAGTGCGACCGCGACTTGAGAGCGGGGCCAAAACTCACCGGAAACCATTTTAACGGCCTGGTTGTAAGCGTCCCGGACGATGGACGGAGACGGACCATAGCGTTCCAGCAGGGCAATTGTCTTCTGCATCAGCTTGGACGCAACCCCTTCGACCTTGTACATGGCCCATTCGGTGGCCCGAGCAGCAGCGAGGCTGGTGCGATCAATGACGACAGACAGGACCTTCTCGGCGAAGATGAGAGAGCGGCGGCAAGCGAAGGCGACACGGTCAGCGGCGATTGTGATCTTCTCGCCGGCAGCCGTCATGACGTTCGTGCACACGTCGACGGCGCCCTTTGTGGCGACCAGGACCAACCTTCCAATTTTAAGGGCGGCACACCTGCGTAGGAAAGAATTGAAATCAAAGAAATGGTCAACGTGTTGCTTAACAGCATCGCGAGAGAGTCTCGAGAATATCAGTCGGTCGTCAGGATAGTCAACGAAAATTTAAGAAACGCAGCAACGAATCTTACTTTGCGGTTCGTTCTTCGATGCCCTTATTAACTGATGCTGTAATCTAAACCTTCCTTCAGAATGTTTAGGCTGCTAACAAAATGGTGGCTGCCGCTTTATGGTCATTGACAACTTGAGATTGTCAGTTAATCACGCAACAATGGGATTGCGTGATTAGCTGAAAAGTAGGGCCAAGAATTAATCACGAAGCAAAAAGCGTGAAGATAGTCAGCCATGATCTGAGTTTCTCAAGTTGTCAGTCGCTGCGCAGAAATGACCCACCTAGCTTCCCATGCCGCAGCGGACATCGTGGAGAGGACGGTCTTCATGTAGAACTCGTCCTGGTAGTACATGGCCTCCAGCTTGTCTGCGGCCTGCGAGATCTCGGAGCTGAGAACGCCGAGGTCGCTCTTCATGTCTTCGAGGACGGGGCTGATCTGGGACTGAAGCGATTGGCCCATGATGAACCTCTTTGCCCTGAATTCTTGCTCGGTTTCGGAGGCGAAGTTGCTCCACAGGCGGGAAGCTTCGTTGCAGAGGGTGTTGTACCTTTGAGACGCGTACTCCTGGATACAAACGACGGAAAGGTATTAAGTCAAGACAACAGGAACGTGACAAGCGTTTTGTAAATTTCGCGGAAAAATGACGACTTGCTCCTGTGAAACAAACGCACGCAACAGCGATTGAATGAAGTGTGGCGCAACTTGTTGCAATAGTGGAGAGTGACGCAACGTCAATTACTTCAAGAAAACAAATCTAAACTCGGCACACCGTTATATGTAAAGAAGGGTCTCAGATGAGCTTTCCTAACCTGTCCTGTAACCTGCCTAGTTTTAGCTCATTTTAGTGGCACTATTTTTACACTTCTCAACGGCGTGAGCACGCTCCCGAAATAAGCCCATTAAAATATCGAAATAATAAACAGAAAGATTCTCGCACCATTCCAATTTATCAACGACAAGTACCCACCCAATGAGCTTATTGTAACTGTTACTCGTTCATGTTTTCAGTCTAAGTTTAAAACATTCGCAAATTGTGTTTGTCGTAGTTTCTTACGCTTTACTTTGTATATGCTTCACGGTGTTAATGCTAAGAGCTCTCATTCCCCATTCTGTTGAGTTTATCACGCTCTCATCATGCAGCAATCCCTACGGATCTCTTTAAAACAAATAAACTTGAACCTCATCGTAGAACAAAAACAAAAACGTAACTATTGTTCCCTGAAAGTGCGTTGAGATCGTATAGTCGTCATACCCAAATATCAACTGTAAGCAATTGCAGATTGTGTTATACTTAGTTCGCTCTGCATAATTTGTTTTTAGTAATGAGGGTTACTAAAATTACTCTGAAACCGCTGTACAGTAGTTAATGCATAAGCTTTATCGAGCTCGGCGGAGCGCGCAAAGATGACTTCTTTCCCACCTCTCGACGCTCCATGTGCACAGAAATGGCTTACGGAAGTCGCCATACTCCGTCTCGCCTTCCCACTGACCGGACCAAGCGGTACGAACCGTCACAGCTTATCCAGTGATGCGAACGTATCACGTGATTACGTTTCGTACGCGTCAGTGCCCCTCTTTCCAAGTTCACGTGACACAAACGCGGCATTCGATTCCACGACGGCTATTTGGCGTCTTTCGCAGCTCATCGTAAAGTCAAACACTGTACAGATCAACTCGCGGCTATGACGTCGCAATGCTGCGGTGGCGCTGCTATCGGCACGGCGCACGCGCAGACGCTTCACCTCGCAAAATACCAATCCCCCTCCGAGCGCTCGCGGCGCCCCACACCTGGTGTGGCCGTACGACGGCTTGTCTATGCAGAGCGCAAGTTCGTCTGCTTATCTTGCAGGGGTTGTGGTGACGGTCAGAACGCCGAGCTCTGATTGGCTTTGATCGAAGGATAGTGGGTAGGCTTCAAAGCAGGCTGCCTTGAGGTCTACCCACAATTCTTCATTCAGAACCAATCAGAGCTCGGCGTCCTTCTGACGTCACCACAACTCCTGCGAAAGAAGCAGACGAACTTGCGCTCCGCATAAACGGTGCGTTGGAGTGTTTAGTGTGACGAAGACGACTTACCCTAGCCTCTTTCGTCAGTTCCGGCCTCCAGCTGACCTCGGAGCCGAGGTAGCGCTTCTCCTTGAGCGCCATCTTCAGGAGGAGATCGGACACGCTGCGGCCGAGGGTCCTGTGGGACAGCTTCAGCTCACGCTTGTCGGGCGACGCGGAGGCCGACATGATGGCCGAGTAGTCGTCTTGATAAAGAACAGAAGAGTGGGGTCAGTGTATATGTTGAGGATAACTGTAAACACTGAACTGCTTAATAAACGTGATTCGTTCCTCGGCTTTCTTATTGCTTAATGCCTCGGTCTCATTGACTGGGAGCGGTCTTATTGACTGGGAAGTGATCATCGGTGACCAGAAGAAACGTAAGTTTCTTCTGGGCTCAGGCAGGTTAAGTGTGATATGGAAAGAAGGCTAAATATATACGAGTCTAGCAGTCACGTGCAATTGGCAAACATTTTTTTTTTATACTATAGAGTTTTCTCGCATCGAAGCGCCCCTGGTGGCACGATGGCACGAAATGAATTCTGGGTACCAGTTGGCCCCTTAGTTTTGGTTTCAGTTTCAGATTTTGTCACGATCCTCATGCCGTGACGGAACACACTGCTTGCATTTTCATTGCTGCGACTTCCTACAAGTGTACAATACTGTAGGCGTTGCCGAGAGATTCCCAACAAAAAAACGGCACTTGGAACTGTTTTTGTGGTTCCCGATGTGCCGGATTTTGGGAAAAGGTAGGCAAATGTAGAACTATGGATTGCAACATCCCTGCTGGTGCCCCATTATACAAGCACCTTCACATGCGCGTCAAGAAAAGTCATGCAGGCTTGGAAGTTCACGTGCTTGGCTGCAAGAGTACAAACAGCGGCTGTCTTTTCGAAACCGAAACCATGCCACTCCGATCCGTGTGCCAAGTGGTTCCCAGCGCGCAACGCGCTCTGTGTGGCATGGAGGGATTTTTGAAGGTGGCCTATTGACAGCTAAAGAAATGCAGCGCACGGCTCATCACGTTTACGCGTCTCGCTTCGTGATCGGCTCCTCGGCGCTCTTATCATCGAATGCCGCAAATTGATTGACTGCGCGAAGCTAATAAAATCCTCCGGGCTCGCCACGCCAGCCGGTTCTTAAGATGTCTCTGAGGATATAGCTTTAAGCAAGCTGATTCCCATGAAGGGAGACTGGCAGCCTGCTCTTGCTATAGACGCTTTGCAGCAGCTGTGCATGGACGCCGCCATAACTGACCTTTAGTTTTTGTTTCCTCTAATTTCGTTTATTTCACTTCATCATTACCATAGCAGGCCAGGTTATTGCCATATTAGATTAAACTGTGTCCTTTTCTAAAGCATCGTTCTTTGTAGAGGATCGCCAACTACCGTTTCAGTTGCTGGGCATCTCGGTAAGACAAGAGAAGGTTAGCAATGGCGGCTGTAATTTGGCGCGTGTGTGAAGTGTCTATAAGCTCGAGGGGCCTCTCTGACCAGGCATTTGATGCTTCGCTCACCAGGCGAGTTGTAGGCGATCTCGACATTGCTGTGCCTCTTGTTGATGCGGAGATGAGTCTTGGTCGGGGGCAGCAGGTTCACTTGGTGTTCCAACTCCATGCCAAACTCCTGGTCACGGTTGTACATCTCGCCCTTCAGCTGACTCTGGTCGCGTCCGCTTCGCAGCTGCATTGTATGAACAACCGGTGGAATAAGCGTGCAACCGATTAACGAAGGATCGGCAACGATCGTTTCATAGCGTGTCAACGAAAACAATTTACAATGTTTTCTTCGCTGGCAGAAATAAACTACGGGTTAGCGAACGCCTGTTCTCCGTCCGAACGCATCTGATTTGGACCAGATTCCAAAGTTTCGGAACTAACCGTTATCGGATTTGAAGATTATTACTTTTAAGTATGGTTCCGTGTTTTGGGGATTTATTTTTCTTCAAATTCCTGGTTTCTTTTTGGTGTTTATTGTTCCCCCCCCCCCCCCCCCCCCCCCGGAGTTCGTGTTTTTTCGGCGATTATTTTAAGTGCGGATAAAAATTGGGGTTTATCGAGGCTAATGTTAGAAAACAGATACATATACTGTACATCAATCTATGAACCCAAATGACCAACCCTCCCCTCCCCCCCCCCCCCCCCGCCACCTCCCCGGTGTCCTTTTTTATTCCACTCCATAAAAAAATATATAAAAAAAACCAATTTTAAGGACATTTAGTACGGGTTACGTTCAGACCGACAGAAAAAATGCTGCAGATGAAAAAAAAAAAAAAAAAACATCACGAAACGTGTGTTTCTTCTTCGTTCACGTCTGTTGTTCGCGCTGTGTCCCCAAGATGAATTCCCACCAACTCGCCCAACTATACATTTTTCTGTTCGAGGCTAGGTCCGATTCGAGGTTTCTCGATTTTCCCCGATTCCAAGAAAACGACTTAGGGGTTGTTTATCGAAGTTCATCTGCATTTACCGCGAACACGAAACCCTTCAAGTTAAGGGATATTTTGAAAGTTTCAGTGGGACACTAAGGGACGGTTCCTGGTAGCTAACGCCATAACAACTAACGCTATAAACAGGAACCTGTTGCCAATGAGCTTACCAGGATGTCAATGGCCTTCCTCAGCTTGAAGATGGACGCCTTGAGCTCATGGACTCGCATCTGTCGGTTGCGGTTCATGTAGTTGACGCTAATGAGAGCGGATACTTCGTCACGGGCATCCTTCAGCTCGGCCATGGTGCGGATGTCCATGGAGGATACGGGTTGGCGCGCTGTCAGCTCGACGGTCACGTGGGACGGTCCGCGCCTTTTGCACCTGCCTTCCAAAACGAGGTTGTGGTTCTGGTCGCGGGAGTACTCCAGCTCGGTCTTGCCGTGCAGTTCGTCGGAACTGATGGATCCGTCCAGGCGCATGACGATCTCCTAGAATGGGACCAGAAGCGGAAAACGAATGGCTTTTTTACTAGGGTAGTATTCTCTCTTTACTATAGACGTGTTAACAATGCAGAAATAATGTACAGACTAATGAAGCACAGTTTAGGACGAATTGCATTAAGGAACACCAAGAAGCTTGACAGCGTCCTACGAACCCTGTTGAACAAAAATTATATGAATCTAAATAAGAACTAATATGAAATTCCCAAAAACTAATATGCGACATATGAAACTGACATGTATTATTCAAAAACTGATATGCGACATATGAAACTGATATGAAATACCAGAAAACAGATATACGACATATAAGAACTGATATGCTTATATAAGAACTGGTATGCTTATAAAAGCTCTGATATAAAAATGTGTCCAATAATCATATCAGAAATAAATTACTATAATTTTTTTTTTTTTTGGTATACGACGTGCCGTGTGGGGAAGCAAACACGTGACTTGGATCCGCAGTGGAGCGGCTTGTTTTATTGTCTTTCATATAATTACGGCATCAGCGTTTAATTTTTACTCAGAGATTCATCGCCTTAGCCGTTCAAAAGCCCAGTATAAAAGGCGGAAACGCAGAGCTCAGAAGTAGTTATCGGGTGTGCCGTTGCATTCATGTTTCTTGTGTCGTATATATATATATGTGTGTGTGCTCAATGTATACGTTCGGCTGATGCTAGCGGTATGTCTAATGTATCTACATGTGTGTATAAGAGGTGCCAAAGAGCCCGAAGTAAAATAAAAACATGAGCAAAAGAAAACTTTTTTTTGTAGCATATGAATTGGGCGGTACCTAGTGCCACCTAGCCCAGCTGAAACTTATATGGGACATATGAAACGAATATGAAATTCCCAATAAATTCTGATATAAAAAATGTGTCCAATAAACATATCAGAAATAAATTTATCGCGTCAGTGGCAACTCGTTTGAATTACCCTCTTGTTGTCTTGTCAATTGAAATATTTACATTCGTGTTTGCCTTTGAACGCGATCCGGTCATAGCTTTGACCACCAGAGCAAAAAGCAGACGGCTGCGCGGTCATGTGGCTTAGGTCGGATATTGACGTTACACAAGAAGGAAATAGAGACGAGCTCCACATCATAAAGATTTAAACTGCATCTAATTTTTAGAAACGCGTAAAAATATACTCTACATTCTTGAAAGGAATTACGCCACTTGTTCTATTATAGTAATAAAATCATCTGATGGGCTAGTTGGGTAAACATAATTAAAAAATAGCGCAAGGACGACGGAGGGAAAAACGAGAGACAGTTAGCGCTATTTTCTGTCTCTCGTTCTTCCCTCTGTCGTCCTTGCGCTATTTTTAAATTATATTTCATTATAGTAGTCCGGAATTAAAAAGAGTACGGATAAAACATTTGAATCAAAATCTAGAAAAATATTCAACACCCAGAAAGTGTATATGTAAGCGTTATGGTCACATCTCACGTGACCAGATGCCAGAAAAGTAGTTGGCTAAATATTTGGTTCTTACCTTGCTGAGCCTTGGATGCGACAGCGTAGCGGCCACTTTGTGAGCCCAGACGGACCTGCTGCTAAGGTTTTGGTGTTCCAAGTTGAGTGTCATGTGCTTGCTCTGGTCGCGAGCAGCATCCCAGAAGAGGTCACAGGACATTGTCTTCACGTTGTTCTTCTGGCTCTGGCTGGCGCGGACTTCGAAAGCCCTCAGCGGGAAGTTTACCTTGCATGACATGTCCGTGTTCTTCAGGTCACGGCGTCGGCTGTGCGTTGCCCGGATGTCGTAGGAAAACTCCTCGCCCTTGCCCTGCCCCCACTTAAGTGATGCCTGGTGTACGAAGTTCTCCGGGGCCTTCTGGAAGAGTGTGTCGAAGGTGATGGTGCGCCTGCTCGAGCTAAACTTGGAGGCAAGCTCAAGTCCAGAGGATACGGGCTTGTAGTGGGCCTCAAGAGCTGTGCGAATAGCCGGAATGTCAACCACAGCGTCGCACTTGTGAGAGCGGAGGTTGTGGACGTATTCCGAATTACCGGCAATCTTGATCATCCTCCTGTCGTTGACAGTCAGCTCCCCGTCAACCTTGTACTTGTTGATGTCGTACGTCAGTTTGACGCTTCGTGCTTCCTGGTACGGGCTGGTAATCTGAACGTTGCCCTTGTTTGCGTTCTTGTCGTGATCCAGGTTGAAGATCATCCTTCGGCGCCAGAGGTTGCCCTCCAGGTTGCTGACCAGGCGGGATCGACTACTCTGCTGTCGCACGCGAAGGCTCATTAGTTCGAAGCCACGGATTGGAGTTGTAACTGAGTTCTCAACGTTGAAGTTGAGCGGGTTGTAATAGGTGTTGCTGTGCTGGATCTCATAGATGTTCCTGGATGGTGCTTTGTAAGACGCACGGAAGACTCGCTTGTCACTCTCCCTGGCACACATCATGCTCACTTCGAAGGTCTCCATGTTTCTGAATGGCGTCGACAAACTGGCGTCAACCTTGAACTGCCCTGCGGGTTTCTTGATGGCTATCAAGGCCTCAATCTTTTGGTCGGCTCCCCATTCATGACCTGCCGTGAGCTGGAAGCCTCCACGAGCGTAGTTAATTTCGGCGTAATCCACAACTTTGAAGTTTGGCAGGGTAACGGTAAGTCGAGGAGAGATGCTCGTGAGGTCGTTGTTGTACTTGCATACAAAGGTCTGTTCGAAGTTTGATAGCATTCCAATAGGCAGACGTCCCTTCAGACTGCTTTCGAAAGATCCTGGGTTGTTTCGGATCTGACCAGAAATGTTGGCGTCGCTGATCAGAGATGGAACAGACGTTTTGATAGACAAGGAACCATCCATGACTCGGTCGTACTCATTGTTGAAGTTGATGTCGATGTTTGCGAAGCGGAGGGACTCAAAGGGCGTCTCCAGGTTAAGGTTGCCTTCAAAGTTGCGGAGGCTGCTGCCGCGCAGAGCACCGAAGCATTTGATAGTCTTTTTTAGAGTTTCCATTACCAGAGTACCTTCCATCAAGTTTGGAGTGTTACTGTAGGTAATGGTACCGGTTAGGCTGTTAAAGCTAAGCAGTGGGGATTCAATCCTGAGCTGTCCGTCAGCGGTTCCAGCAACCTGCTTCCAATTGGCGTTCAAGCGGTGGCTCGTCTTGGGATCTTCAAAGATCATAGAGATGTCTGCGCCCTGCCTCGTTGTAGTTACGATGCCTTCAGCAGTCAGCGAACGGCTTGGCAACAAAAGAGACTCGGCACTCAGTTTGCATTTGAGAACGCCGCCGTTAGCACCAGCGTCGATGTTGATTGTGTTCATGTTCCTCTCAAATCCAAAACTCAGAACTGCCTTAATTTCCCGTGGGCGCAATGAAGACAGCTCGAGCTTGAATGAAGCGGGACCTTCCTTGAGCATGGGGCTATCAAGGCTGATTTGACTTCTGTAGATACTCCGTTTGTTTTCGTAGCTTCCGAGGACCTTGTGAGATTCCTCACCAAAACCGGCTGTGATCCTAAAGTCGGCGAAGTCTTTGTTGGGCACATTGACCATGTAACTGACTGTGGCTTTACCTTGCGGAAGGAGTGGGCAGTTAACTTCGAAGGAGCCCTCAAAGGGACCGCTGTTTTTGATGTCCAGGGACAAGGCATGCTCGCCTCCGGGCGTGGTTAACGCAATCCCTCCGTTGATGAACCTAAGACCTCCCGTTCTAAGATTAACCTTCAGGTTTGCGGTCCTCAGCTGTTGGTGAGGCGTGATGAGAGACATCTGTCCATCAACAAGTCTTATGCCCTGGTATGTCATCTGACCGTTAAGTTCATATCGGCTGTTTGGGGCTTCCAGGCTGATCAAGCCTCTGTACTGGTCTGCAGCGACGCTTGTTTCTGCCTTGATGTCAATTGTCTGAGCACCCTCAATCGGTGTCCGCAAGCTAAAGGACGCCTTCATGTTTTTTATTCCCTCGTACGTGATATAGTAAGCCATGCTGAGTTCTTCGTACGACCTGAATGGTGTGGTAAGCTTAATAGTGCCTTCGAGGTCTCGGTTGTAGCTGTTAGAAGTAGAAAGTGCAATTTTTTTGTTCTCCTTTTCGAAGACGGCATTAAACGTGCTAGAGCCACCCCGATTTTCCATGGCACCGCTGCCGCTCAGTCTACGATATCCCCGGAACGGAGTAGTCAGAGTAAGCTTGATGCTTTCCGGAGCAGCTGCCGATTCGATGTTAATCATCTTGCCTGGAGCCCAGCTGATGGACGCCGTCACTTGTCTCGTACGGCCACGGTCTTCAATTCCTGCATTCAGTTCAATTTCCTCCAGGTTTTCAAAGGGACTACGCAGTTGGAGCTTGGCTGTGCGGTCAGTCGTGTCTATTGTTGCGCTCAGCTCGATCGTTTTGGCATCGCACTGCAGCATGCTAGACAAAACTTTTGTGTTAGACTCAAAATTTCCATTTAAGCTCATCTCCATGTTGCGCATGCCTTCGAACGGAGTCTTGAACGTCACCTTCGCCGATGCCCTGCGGTCAGCCTTCTCAAGTTCACTCTCGAGCGACATCATCTTTCCACTCCACTCAGCGTCGACCTTGGACATAAGCTTGCCGAACTCTGTGCTGTACTCGCCGGAGATCTTCTGCAGCTCCAAGCCACGAATCGGAGTTGCGAGGCTCAGCTCAGCAGTGGACCCGGTACGGCTGTTTTGTAGGTTACCAACGAGAGCTATCTTTTTCCATTGCGACTGAAGGGTGATGCTTGCGCTCTTGGCGTTGTACTCGTTCTTATAATTGCAAAGAAGCTGAACGCGCTCGTAGCCACTGATGGGAGTAGTGCAGGAGATATCGATGTCAGACGCGCCCTCTTTCAGCGAGGCCGATCCGGTCAGGGTTACCATTTTTTCTGGGCGAGGATCCCACTGGAACGACAGCTCTCCGGTCTTTTGTTCGCTGGAAACGTCGTACTTGGCGTTCACAGTGACCATTTCGATTGCCTTGATAGAACTGGTGAGCTGAAGCTTGCTTTCCAGACTTCTGTAACGGTCGTTTTGGAAGCCCCACTCCAGAGCAATGTTTTCGCCGTTGTTCCACTCAGTGGAGACCTTGGACTTGACTTCCTGGTGATTATAATAGTTGCTGGCCTTGATGTTGGCGTTGCTGAGGGCTCTCCATGGAGTGATGAGCCGAACATTAGCATCCATGTTGTAGTCATTCCGAGTGCTGCTAGAAGACGCGTCAATGTTCAATGCGACCTTGTTCCTACGCTGCCATTCAATCTCGGTACTGTGAGATAATCTGCCATTCTGCAGCTGGTTTGTGTTTCGGACTGTCAGGGAGGACATAGTTTTGAACGGTGTAATAATTTCCAAATTCTGCTCGAAGTTTCCATTGTCTCCAATTTTCATGTCGTGAACGACAGTCAGAGAGGACTGGCCGATGGCGACCCCAAGACGGCAGTCGAGGTTTCCGCCCCTTCTAGTTTGACGAAGATTCATGCTGATGGCTTCGTAGGCACGGATTGGGGTAGTAATTGTTAGCATGCCGGTTATGTCGGAACTTCCCTGAGAATACATGATGTCACCGTTCAACACTGCGGTGTACTCGTTGCGTCCAAAGGCGATCAGGCCCGTTGTCTTCAGACTGCGACTGTGAATATTGTGGGCAACCTCCATTTTTAGCTGTTCGTAATTTCGGATGGGCAGCTGAATCGTGATTGAAGAATCAAAGTTGTTCATGGAGGCAACCCTGCCTTGGCTGCGAAGGGAAGCCGTCTTCGAGTACGGAAGCTTAGCGTCCGCACTGACCATGACCTTCTCTTGGTGAACTGAGTACGTTCCAGTCACCTCGAGGTTCTCGTAACCTTGCACGGGACTGTTAAAGTACAACCTCATTTCACTTGAGGCGTCACCTCCACGCTGCCTCTTCTTGGATGCCGACAGCCCCGTAGTGATTTTGTTGTAGCCATTGCTTGCTTCAATGTCTGCGCTCAATTTCTTGCCGTCGTTGTTGTACGTCATCTTCGACGACATCAGTTCCAATCCCCTGATTGGTGTCGTGATCCTGATGTCAGCCTCGCAAACCTTTCTAAGTCCAGTGGAAGTGTGTTGCCCGTTCAAGCTGAAGGACACTTCCTGACCTCGCTTCCACTGAGCCGAAGCCTGGCACCTGACATAAGCTGGTCCGTGTGCGTGGTCAAAAGAAGCTCCAACACGCTCGTATCCAATGATTGGAGTGATCACCTCAGCCTTGCCCCTCAGCATTCCCCTGCCGTAAGCACCGGAGACCTCAGCAGCCACTGCCTTCCCTTCATCCCAATGAAATTTGACCATGTTGTTAATTTCGAACTGAGAAAGGGAATGAGTAGCCATGAGAGAAAACTCTTTTCCGGCCGGAGTGTTCACTTTGACATTTCCCTTGATGATCCTGCGGCTTCTGTCAATCAAGACGTCACCGTCTGAGGCAATGGACAAAATACGACGCTGAGGGAGTGTCATTCTTCCTTCAGATGCCCATTCGCGCCCGTCGTAACGATGAGTTAGTGTTAGACCAAGGATATCGGCCTTCTGGAAAGGTGTGGTGATTGTCATGTCAGCCTTAAGGACGCGGCGGGACGTTTCTGGGTTCCAGTCGATGTTGGCGACGTAGGTGACCTTCTTTCGAGGTTGCCATTCAATCTCTCCCGTGCTGGAAATACGCAGAAGACCCCCATCAAGACGACCTTGGGTGGTGGTAGACACGGTGCCGCGGATGTCTTGCTTTGGGCACTTGACGACAAAGTTACCCTGGTATCCACCCGAGACGCGACGGAATTCACCGTTGATGGTGGCGCGACGAGATGGGTCCTTGGCAGCGTCCCACTTGCAGTCAAACTTGACCATTTTGACATCTCTGCTTGAAGTCAGCTCGGACTCGATGCTAACCTCGCGTACACGTCCCAACTTGACGTTGGCGTTGGCGACGACCTTGTTGGATTCAATTTTGAAGACACCGTTAGCCGCGTAGTTGTCCCTGGGGGTCTCGATCTTGATGCTTGCGTCGTGGTTGTACTGGTTTGCGGACCTGTAGACAGCGTTCAGCTCGTGCCTTCCGACGCTGCACTGAGACGCTCCTTTGATGGTGTAGTAACCCTTGGCGGCTTTCAGTGCGCCGCTGACAGTGACTGGACGGCGGTTCGGTATCAGGATCTCAATCTCGAAGCTGGGGCTGTACTGCCTCCTCTCTGCGCCGAGCCTGAATGTACCGGAGGCCTCAATTTTCTTCTCCCTGCTCCACTGGGCCAGCAGGTTTCCTTTGTATTCGTCCGAGCCAACGTTCCTGTAATTTCCGCTGAGCCTCGTTTCGCGGCCTGGGTAGTTCACTTGCACATCCAACTTAGTCTGGGGCTGAATGGCGACGTCAATAGCGGTGCTGAGTTGGCGTCCTGGTGCGTAGTTGAGAGTCATCCTGTTAAGAAGGCTGTTCTCGGTGTTTTCATGGCTCATTTCCAGAGACCAGTCGATCTTGTTCTGGGGGTACTTGAGCTTGAGAGTAAGTCCGGCGTTGTTGTTGCTCAGGGTGCCCGTGTACTTGGCGATCTGCTGGATGCGGATGGTCTTCTTGCCGCTCGTGCCCCTCTTGATCTCGAGCGAGTTCTCGATGAGCCCATCCGTCACCTGGCAGTCCCAAAGCAGGTCGGTATTCAGCGACGGGTGGAAGGTGTTCTGGAGGGAGGCTGCACCGTTGTACTTGGTCAGGCTGCCCGCGGACAGGTCGCGGAACTTGGCTGTGAAGTCGATCTTCTCGGGGCGTCCTTCCATGAGGCTGAACTCGCCGTTCATTTTGGTGGCCCAGTTCTCGCCCGACTGAGTGTAGCCGTCCATCTTGCCATCGACAAAGAAGGACTTGATGACAGCTTCGTACTTGACGCGGTTCTTGTCCATCATGTCCAAGTCAACTGTGGGTAGAAGAGTACATACGAAAACGGGTAAGTATTCCGAGTTCTTGAAAGAACGCTGGGCTGCGGAAATTTCAAATGAGTCAAACGTATATAAATGTAGTTACAGTGTCTGTAGTCACTACCTAGGTGAGAACGGCGGAGAGAAGCTTCAGTTGTCCCGCCTCAAGTACGAGCTTCCTACCTTCGACAACGCCCTCGTGAGCTTAAAGCGAGCATATGCCGCTAGAGGACAACGGAAATCAATGAGTGCATGCCGGAGGCCGGGCTTTTGAAAGATATGTTGTGCCGTTATCATTATGTCAGCGACTAGGCGGAGCGCAAGTTCGTCTGCTTCTTTTGCAGGGGTTGTGGAGACGTCAGAACGCCGAGCTCTGATTGGTTCTGATTGAAGAATAGTGGCTAGCCCTCAAGGCATCCTGCTTTGAGGTCTACGTCTACTTACTATTATTCGATCGAACCAATCAGAACTCCATTTTGTAACAATTTCAGGTCCTAGGAGATGATCACCCGTACAAAATCTTTTGTCCCATCAACATTTTGTTTAGGAGTTAACCGCCTTTCTCAAGGTGTTTGGTGAAACGGAAGTATAAATTTCTGGTGTGGTGACTGATTTCATGAATGTCAAGGCCCCGGCACAAATTATAATAAGACACGATATATGTACACCTATGAATTTTAGTAAGATGGGTAGATGACTAAAGCACCAAAGATTACGGACGCAGAAAGGAGACAAACCTGAATTCGATGAAACAAAACTTTTAGAACAAAACAAATATATGATATTTGACGTTGAGATTCTACAACGAATTTTGTAAAGTAAACTTAGCGCCAGAGAGCTTTTTTATTTGAACTGACCTTTGAGTAGAACAGGCTTTTCGGTGATCTTCTCGATGTTGAGATTTCCGCTGTACTTGCGTCCGTGGACTGCGTTCCACTGTCCGTTCAAAAGCAAAATGCTGGTGCCATGGTTGTGGATCTCAAGGAAGTGGCTGTACCTCGTAACGTCGTTCTGTAATAGAGTAGCATGAGATAATAAATGCAGGACCTTGACAGCTATTCTTAGCTTGGTAGGTAATAATATGATTGTTTATACAGTTTCTGATTCTGAAATATCGCACCCACCTGAGAGGTATCAGCCTTGAGCTCGCTGACAAGCTGGAATATCGAGGCCTCATCTAGCTTGGCGTTGAGGTCGATCTTTTTCAGTTTCTCGTCGAAGTTGTACTTTCCTGGGGATGGAAGGCAGGTCCCAAATAACTTCTCACTTGTGAGATAAGCTTTATAAAAGATATCTTAACTTTCGGTCAACTAAAAAAAACTTGCGTTGAGTTTTTTTTTTGTTTTTTTTCATGTGGATCTTTTTTGCGTTTTGCCAGCTCCTCAATTGGCTGAAATGTTCCCGCTCTTTGATCGCTTAGTTTCAGTTTAACGCCGTGTACAAGGGTGACATTTCTTGCCCCATAGCGCGGACTACGAATGTTTTATTAAAAATTGCACTGCACGGCGAGGTGGTATTGAGGTGAGGCCTCACTTCTCTAAATACATTATGCCTCAAAACTTTAAAAAGTAAGTATTTAAAATGTGTTAGTTGTTTAACTAACTTATTTTTCCTCTTGTAAGACCGCCCTGGCCACCAACGTTGCTCCAAGGTTAAAGACACACTAACATAAGCTTCCTTTGAAAAAAAGCAATTCTGAACCGACTAGACAAACATCTCGTATATTGTTAAATGCACAGCAGTCAACCCGAAATACGTTTTTCCTTAAACCGGGTGGCAAAGCACAAAAAAAAATATCTGTCAAACATTGATTGTTCTCAATAATGTATATATATATATATATATATATATATATATATATATATATATATATATATATATATATATATATATATATATATATATATATATATATATATATTACATTTAACTGATGTTTATACATAAAAAGGCTTCCAGCTTAATATAACCGTCCTATACTCGTATTCACCTCAGTAATCAGAGTAGAAAAAGTCCGGCTTTTAGCGGAATGCAACCAATTTCCCACTATGTGTGTTGAATTAAGATATATGTGATTGCACCTTAGACAACCAATTATTGCAAGAACTACTTGTGACGATGTGACGCATTGTTGCGTGAGGTAGAGAATCAAGCGTGCGGTCTCCTAAAAAAAGCCCTTTTACTTTGTTCGCGTCGTTGCCTTATTTGTACTTTTAATAACGAACTACCAACTAGGCCAATCGTAAACGTTAACCTAATCTGCTTTGCTTTCGATAGTACAAATAATTTTATGTAGGAAAGAAGACCTCCTTTTTGAATATCAGAGGGGAGTCGTGTTAGGGCGAGTTAAAGGGTGGAGAGGACATGGGCTAGGAGGAAGCAATAAAAACTGGAAGGAGCAAGGTTTACGTCTGCCTTCAAGCAACGCTCTCGCCCTTATACGTCTGCTCTCTCTAGATAACTTACCATATTTACTACATGTGTTTTTGTTTCTAAGATGGGTCTTGCGCTTGTTACGAGAACGCACAATTTTCCTCACCTTCGAGTGTGAATTTCTTGGGTGGTGTCTTGAGGCGAAGTGCCACGGTGCGATCGCGGATGTTGTGCTGCAGCTCAGCCTTGATTTCACGGTCCATCGTGGTGCCGGGCGTGCTCATTGTCACCATGGCTCCTTTGACATCCTGCATTTAAGGAAAGTCAGTGTTAGACTGCAAGTCAAATTCTAAGGGAGATCGAAATGAATGTTGAGATAAACAATGGTGAGGCACCGATTAATGTTAGATTGTTTAGCCAAAAAAACACATTAGATCTAGCTCGCGATTTGCTTCTTTTAACGTTGGCCAAAAATTACTGAAAAGTCTAGGATATGTCCCTTTTATAGCACAATTATACTCCATTGTTGAAAACTCTGTTAAAGGAATGTGTAAAATAAAAAGTGTCAGAAGACAAAAGTGAAGCAGAAGGAACGAACAGGCCCACTTCTGTCAATTCGGTGCTTCTACTTGTCTCTTGTTCTTTGGTGCTATTAATATTTCTAGTTATGGCATATGAACACTCCCCCCCCCCCCCCCCCAAGCCCAAGCCCGTACTCTTCTATGGACGAATGCAACAACAGCTTTTTAAAATCCATAAATTTGCGGGACATTAATACGTGTCTTCACAAGGAGATAAGAGGGCTGAACCATTTTGTTGTGCTCTTGAATATTGGAGCGTTTGGCATCGTCTTTCTAATTAATACGTACTTGGTTGTTGGTCCATCCGGCTTCAAAATTGTACGAGGTCAGGGACGCGTCAGTCTTCTTGAGGACCAAGCTGAGCTCGGCGTTTCCGCTGAACGGGTACATGGGTGCACCGTACGTCTGACTTGACACCGGGAACTCGGCCTTGCCGCAAATCTGGATGCCCAGCATCTTCTCCATCGTGGATCCTGTGCACGCTTCCGTCTCCATTTTCTTCTGGGGTTCGTTGCGGTGCTCCACCTCGGACATGCTGTTCACCAGGAAGATCTTGCTCCTAAAGAACAATATAGCACGAGCAGATTAGGACTGTGGGTAGAAGGATGGCAAGTGTCAACAGGGAGGTTGGCTATTTCACATGCAATGACCTTCACCATGTTTGTTTGAATATTCACAACTTGCTTTTACGTTTAGGTGCAAGAAAAAGACACCCAAAAAGCATGCCAGGACAACATACGACACATCCAAAGCGCCCACAGAACGTCTTAACAGTTCAAAAGTATTTTCGTTAGTTTAAAGTAATCGTTGGACACGGCATGGTTAATGTGAGAGCAACAGCACTTAAGACAAAAATGGCGTAAGTATGAAACACTTATCAAGATGTACTACAAATCTGCTATAAATTGTCACCAGAGTGAGAAAGTATATTTTATAGACAGGATATGCTGGAGCAAAAGTATGTCTCTGGTAATTTTAGCAATGTTTTTACTGCAATTAAATGTTTCTCGAAAGGCTCTCGATACGCCAAGCAGCCTCCGAGGACAACTTCTGTTTCGAGTTTTAAACATTATAGTTATCAAATGAACTTGGTTTCTGCCCAGTTTGTTATCAGAAGCTAAGCAATTTCTTCTTCTACGCGCACTATGGTGTCTGATTCTAGTCTGTCCTTGTTTTTGAGCGCTAAAATGTATTCCAAGTTCTGAGTCTCTGCTGGAAATGGCATGTACAATTCTGAGTTTTATTAAGACACATCCCAGTTTACCCTCGTGAGTCTAGGTTCTGTACTCACTTGACATCAATGAGCTCCATCTCGTTCCGTGGCATGTTGATCTGGGCCTTGACTGCCTGCCCCTGTTGCACCTGTAGAGAACCGTCAACGACCCAGGAAGAGGACATGGTGGCCACCATCTTGACTCCGGACACAGACTTGTGAGCATCCACGCTCATCAGCATCGACAGCTCGACAGCACCGCTGCAGATGTGTGAAAATCACTGCCATCAGTTAGGCCGCTCATCGATGAATGTAGTCTTAAAAAACGAAAGACCCATTTACTGAGACTGCTTATGATGAGCTTCTAAGCGCACGTTGACCAAAGGCCATTTATATTTAGAGGAAAAGTAGTACCAATGTTTACTAATGCGTTAGCATTATTACCCACATGGCAGGGAAAAAGTGTTGGTGCTCATCTGTAAACAAGAGTGGAAAGGGAAGCGCGCATGTACAGAGGAGAGTGGGGAAGGGCAAAGTGGAGAGGGAGGCGACGTGACGGGGCGGAATCCAGTGCGGGCGAGGATGCTGGGGCGAGTCTGAAGATGCAGGTGAGCGGAGCGCGAATGCCTTGGTTGGTGTTACAAAATGAAGTGCGAGCCAAGTACTAGCGCTGGTTCAAGTTGGCGGCAAAAAAAGACAGATTGTGAAAGAAGCAGACGGGGTACACAACATGTAATGTGTCCTCCGAAAAAGATACGTGGCATACGTCACAAAACACCCTCCCAAAAGAAATTTCCAACAGAAACCCTCAAAGCCGGTAAACATTAAAGGGAAGACCAATGGGCACTTCCTACAAGTTGTGCTAACTGATTTCCCAAGGATCAACCAATGGATCCTCCTTTTTCTTTCATCACCTCAAGCACCGGGTGCCTGACCAAAGCGAATTCAGCGCATCCTCCCGAAAGTGCCTCGTCGAAAGGGTCTTTTATAGCGTTGGAGACCGTCGCATAGGCATTCAGTAGTTAGACATGAGGAAGATACATAGAAAGGGGGGACGGACAACGAAGACTTCCAACTAGCAACAACATTTATTGACCCGAAGTTTGCATATATAGGTGAAGGAGGGGAGGGTGAAAGACGCTACACTGGAAAGTGGAAAAGCGATGGGAGAGAGTGTAGAGCCAGGGAAATGAGGGACGATCCCGTGGGGTAGACATCTAATCGCTCGGAGCCGCTGAAACGAGGGACGTCAGCTCTGGCCCCAGGAAGTTTATCTCCCTCCTGGATAAGCCTATGGACGGGGATCCGAAGGGGTTGTGACTGTAGTGCATGGCGAAGGCCTCCATGATCTCTCGTCCGTATCTCGAGGCGTGACCTCCAATCCTGGTGGTCGAGGGAAGGTCGGCCGAACAGGGTTCGCTGCACTCAGAGATGTGTTTGGCAATCGGGTGGTAACAAATCTCCGAAGTGTCGGAGGCGGCTTTCTTGATCTCGTTTGCATGTTCCCTCACCCGATCGTTTAGGCATCGGCCCGTCTGTCCGATGTATTTAGCACCGCAGGACATGGGAATCGAATACACGCACTCTTTGCAGCAGGTTACATAATTGGTCTGGTGCTTTTTCTGGCACGGGGGCGCTGGACCTGGGTTGTTGACCTTTCTACAAATGGAAGCTAATTTTAACTCGCAGGAAAATACAACGTTGGTGTTGAAGCCGAGCGCAATAGATTTCAGGCGATGTGAGGTGTTGTGTATGTAGGGGATGCACGCGAAGCGTGACTTAGGAGGGAGGGGTTTGGACTTCTGCCCCGCGACAAGTCTTTTGATTGTTGTTTCAATCAGGTCTCTCGGGTATCCTGCCTTTATGAGGCGACTAATGTGCTTGGATAGGCTGGGGGCGAAAAGGTGCTGACAGGATTTAACCTTTGCCGAAGCAACTAGATTTCGAACGATCCCATTTTTTACATTCCTTGAGTGTGAGCTGTTGAAAGGAAGAACGGGCTTAGAGGACCTCTGCTGGTGATCCCAGCAGATACCTTCGCTAGTTGGGACCAGCCTGAGATCTAGGAACAGTAAGCCCTCAGGAAAGGGGGCCTCTTTGGTGAACGTAAGCCCATGTGAGTTTTTCTGGAACACCGTCTCTATGGCTGCAGAGTCGGAGATGGTGGAGTGTAGGATGAGATAATCGTCAACATAACGAAAAACCTTCGTATCGGGAAAATCTCGTTGAAGGTCCGCCTGAACTTTGGCGTCAACATAAAACAGGTAAATTTCGCTGAGGACGGGAGCCAAGCAAAACCCGATACAAACGCCGGCCTTTTGTATGTACACTTTACCCTCATATTCAACAAGCGTTGATTGGAGATACAGCTGTGTCAATTCGAGAAATCAGGACAGCGAGACGCCACATGAATTTTGAAAGTCTATGACACCTGTCTCGTGGATGGCGTCAGAAATGAAGCCCAGGAGGGTCTTCACGTTTAGGCTATAGTAGAGATCTACAACATCGAGCGAGAACGCTCTTACAGCTTCAGTGCCGGCGTGTAACTCGTCCAGCACGGGAAGGAGATCTTCCGAATTTCTTAGTCTGAAAGGTTGGGGGAGCTCTAACGTGCCGAGATGTTTCTGCAGAAACTTCGCCAAAGGCCTCTGCCAACACCCCGTCTCGGATACAATGCTGCGGAACGACACGCCTGGTTTGTGGGTTTTAGCGGAAAAGAAAATAGAGAGGTATTGCTTCGCTGGGGCAAGAACGGCACTTTTAAAGAAGAGAGGTTAGATGAATCGCACATTGCCTTCACCCTGGACCTGAGGGATCCGGATGGCCGCATTTTGAGGCCTATAAAGTTCTTCTTTAGGGCTTCGTCGGATTTCTCTTGCATTTGTTGTTTGTTCAGGATGACGAACTGACCCGTTTTGTCAGCTTGAAGTAAACTCAGCTCACCGGCCCAGTAGGGCCATGCTTTTTACCGCGACTCCAACTGATCAAGAACTACTAATGCATATAATAGTTGGATTGCCATTGCCTATAAAAAAAAAGATCTTGTTTAGTTGTTGACTTACTACCATCCTGAAACAGAATGAAGGCGTTTTATTATGCGTAGTCGCGGAAAGGAAGGATACAAAAAAAAAACGTGCGCACAAAATTTTAGTAATTTCAGTAAATTCAGGTATTATTTCAAAAAGATGATAAGTTATGCATGGCTTGTCAACAACGCCTCGTACTTACGGTAGTACTTAGTAAAGGATATGTTTGATAAAAATGTCTGCTTGCAACGGCTCACCTTGGCTTGATCTGTCCGTTGATGTCAACACCTCCTTTCTTCATCTGGGACTTTCCGCCAACGCTGATGGCTGCGGTTGCCGATCCGTTGACGGAGACGCGGAGTGGAAGACCGTTGCTGGCGGGCACGGTCAAAGAGGTGTCCGCGAAGAGCACGCTCTTGCTCAGGTCCAGGCCCTTGGAGTCGGACATCTTGACGATCCACTCGGAGAGCTCGCTGAAGGGAGTGGCTGCGTTACCGCCAATTTGGATGCCGGCGATCTCGTTGCCAAAGAACCTCAGGTATCCGGATGCCTTGGCGTCACCACCATACTTCTCTTTGACTGCAAACTACGAAAGTAAAAGAGGTGGATACAATGCATGTTAAAAAAAATCTTCGTTGAGATGGTCAATACCAGCCTAACGATGTTTACAAAACAAGAAGACGAAAACGGGTGAAGGGATGTATAAACTAGTTCAACTGCAGAAAGGAAATTAAACGCACAGACGAAACGGTGGACCTATATTATGATTGAAATTTGAGGTTAAATAAAAAATGGTGGAATTAGGCACTTAGAGTGACGAAACATAGATAGTTCAAGCCATTGTTTTGTAGCAAACAGTCTTTTTATCTTCGCATTACGTTTCTTTTCATCTTCTTGTTATTTTCTTTTTGTCGTTGTTCTTGTTTTTTTATCAAGACGTTTGTTTAGCTTAGGAGTTTTCTAAATGGTTTGAAAGACTACCCTGTCGTGAAAGTTTATGCTTACCTTCTTTCCTAGCTCGTCAATTTTGTTGTCACTGATGGCCCTCCTGGAGCGGATAGTGTTCTGCTGGTCCTGTGGGAACCACTTCTGGATGTACTTGTCCACTTGTTCGGCTCGAGCTCCAGCCTGTTAAGGGTAAAACGTAAAACACAAATTCAGTTCATGTCTGATGGTCTGATAAACGTGATATTATATATGCTCTAGCCATTTTCCTCTCTTATTCGATCGCATGTCTACTTGTACAGAGATACTTTATACCGTTGTGACCTAGACGCAATGTCGACTAGGGGTCCTGTTCTTGAACGACAAGGACTAGTTTCATTAGGCCTAGTTTCTTCAAAGTATTTCAAGCTCATTTAATCTCAGGATCACGCCAGATCGGGTAGAGTTACTTCAGATGGGGTTAGATCGGCTATTCACACGGAACATAGAATGATGTCAGAAACTGCAATAGGACATGTTGGGTATAGTTGAAGAGAATAGCTTTATGATAAGTCTTCTATTATTAGGACAGGACGAATTACGTTTAGTACGATCCTCTCAAAATGTAACCAGGAGTGTCAGGTTGGTTTTTTAAGGCTATAAGTTGGTCTAAGTAAGTAAAGCCAATACAAATTTCACAAACTTACTTCAAACAGGTTGATTTTTTTGCCAAAGATGTCGAAGGACGTGCCGACCATCAGGCTTCTAGGGTAATAGGACTCTGGCGTATAGATGACGTTAGCATCCAGTTCGAATCCGGTGTCGAGGGGGTCGAAGAACATGCGGTAGTGGATGTTGCGGGAGAACTTGCGGAAGTCCAGTTCAAACTTGTTCTTTAGCTCCACGTCGTTGGCGATGGCGCGGTACTCGGTCTGGAACGGACTTGGTTCCTTGGCAAGGTTGCGGATGTGCGAGTAGACGAAGGAGCCGACTGCGGAGTGGAGATTTAGCGACAGGTAAGCACAAATTAGTCGGACGACAGAAACTTCCCATAAAACTACAGTCATCAATTTCACCTCCAAACTTCGGGTGTTAGCACATTTTATAGATTTTATATTTGTATTCGTACTTGCATTTGTATTCCTTATTAAACTCTGGAAGGTCAGGTCACTGAAGTAGGACACAGGCTCATATTCTTAAGTTTTGTAATGTCTTAAAACTGGCTAATAACCGCATACAAACACATGTAGTCGTTTCGTGAGGCTTTGAATCCGTCTGTGTGACCAACCATCCTGAGCCGTTTTGACTTGATCCTACGATGTCACTAGAGCCAATAAAAATTACAGGATGAAGTCCTGCGAGCGAGTAAACATATCTCGATTAACTTTAAAAAAAAAAAAGACATTTATGCACGAGAATATATTTGAGGCGTGTAACCATGGGATAAGATAAACAAACTCCATTTAAATACGTCTTTTCAGTCCGTGCGTAACAAACTTCCTCCATTTTCTTGCTGTCTTTCTTTTCTTTTCAGTCAGTGTCTCAACATTTCGACGACGTTCGTGTCAATATCAATCTAATATCGGAACTGCGCTTCTTCTTTGATGGTGTAATTAGGGTTACCTTGCTTGATGGACTCGTTGCGGATGGCGTCCCTCACACTCTCGATGACAGGGTTGCTGGGGCACTTGATCGCTGCCAGGTAGCCGGCAATCCTCAGCTCAACGTTTTCGTGGACGTTCTGATACGTTCTGAGCATTTCGTTACGCTGCAAAGAGGCAGTCGAGCAAGTCATTTCTTGTGCCTGTTTGATTGGGGGCACTGAACTTTGCTTTACTGTAACATACCCCCGAACTACATGGTGGTGTACAACCGTGTGCTGAAAACACCGATTTGCATTCAGCCCGCTCTCAAAACTACCTTTTCGTCCTGAATATGTCGTTACGCCTTGCTCCATACCAGATTTGTTGATGGCACTTATGCTTCACTGGTTGTGACCGTACGACAAGGATACAGTTAACTCCGCGACTTATTCCCAGAATTCACAGTTCATTCACGCCAATAGCCGACCCATTAGTCCATGCTCTCAATAGACGTCTATTTACTGTAAAACATAAAGTTAACGAAAGAAAAGCTTATAGACGAAGTTGTACTCATCAGAACATGATAGATAAGTCGGAGACATGTGTGTTGATTGCTTACTGGAATGTCGCAACTGAAGCGGCGGAAGGCCTCGACGGCCGCAAGACGGATCTCGATGTCCAGCTGTGGGTTCTGGAAGCACCTGTTCAGAGTTTCCTCCGATCCTTCGGACTCGCCCAAGTTTCCCAGGGCCTTCAGCACCATCAGAGTCTGGAATAGAAATTCGCATGTAAACTGTCCGATTTGGTTCTAGGAAGGAATCGCAGCGTTTCTCGCTAATCGTTGTGATCGGTAGTTCTTGACACTGTAAATGTAGTTTACTAGCATTCATTTGTTTTTCTACGTCGCATTTTTAGCATCTTTTTTTCTTTTATGTGTTGTAGGCTATATTTCCCTATTGAAAATTCTCATTTGTATGAGAAATTTCTGTGTCCATTAAACACATATGAATCATACAAGATATATAAAAGCATATCAGAACCGTATAAGAACCATATAAGAGCTATATAAGAACTATATAAGATATATGAGAACATACAAGCACCATATAAGAAACTAGTGGGAAGTTTCTTATACGTTTCTTATGGGGTTCTTATATATCTTATATAATTCTTATATAGTTCTCATATAATTCTTATATGTTTCTTATATGTTCTTATATGTTCTTATATATATTGTATGATTCATATGTGTTTATTGGACACAAGAAATTTCTCATACAAATGATTTTTTTTACTAGGGTGGGTATACATATATGCCCTCGTTACCGAAATTGACAACCGGCTCTTTGTAAATAAGCAAAATGAACAAGTAATGAGTGAAACCTATAATATCTGTTCGAATACTTAACTGTAAGAAACAAAAAAAAACATGTATTCCAAAGTGTTTGTTGATAATTGAGTATTGCACATCCGCTCAAGATACAAAAAGAACCCAAATCGGTTGAGAATGCAGGACAGTCGTCACGGCCAAAGGTTCATTAGAGAACGTGGAATGATATACTCACGGTGCGGGCATCCCGAGCGTAGCAGTTTTCGCCTAGGGTCAGGTACAGGGAACGGGCGAGCTCCTTGATAGGATGGGCAGAGTTGCAGTCCGGGTTGGCGCGGCAGTAAGAGTGGGCCAGGGTCGAGACTCCCAGGTAGGCCTGAGACCTATCCAGCTTGATCAGGGGCTGCCAAAATACATTCGAACAGGAACTGTTATTCAAATCACTGAATCCCATTGGCGTTAAATACGATGGAAAATGTCAGGTGTTGACACACCGGTGTAATTTGTCTCGTTCTTTCACCACCGCGCCGAAAAGCACCGCGGTCGCGTACGAAAACACGATATGCTTTCGAGACACAGCAGCATTGCAGACATTTTAGTGCGCGGCCAGTTTTAGTGAACGCAGATAGAGTCAATGGCATATTAAGAGACGCAGGGCGTGGTAGATCCCGTGCATCTAATTACCGCTCAACATCCAATCAGATTGTGCCGTTAGATAATAAGAACATTGAATAACCAATCACGAAGCAGGAATACAACTGGCCACGCCCTGAATTAGTGAAGCCTTCAGTGACTCCAATCGAGTATTATATTCATTTCACTAAAGAATTCTGTGAAGTGACGGGTAAACGCGACTGAAAACCGACTTGAGTTTATGCCCTACGGCAACTATTCATATTTTTTTAACAACAGTTAAGAACAATGACGCTCACGCGCTCTTCGGAACAAGCGCATGAGACGAAGTGGAAATGACACTACCTTCGCCCGAAGACTTCCCGCAAGACAGTTACATCTTGCGTGAACGACACCACGTGAACGTACCAGGGCCTCCTTGACCATCTCCAGAGTAGGCTGAGAGACGAAGGCGAGGGAAGTGAGCCAAGCATCGGCATCGATACCGATGACCTCTCCGTTGACCATGGACTCTGTCATCATGCGAACGGACGCGGCGGTGGCCACTGACGGCAAGGCGTCCATGAAGAACTTCCTGTAGAAAAACCGGTCGGAACAACAGAAAGATTGTTAACTAGCGTTACTTTACACCTTAACATAAACTATACCAGACAAACATTTACTATTCTGTTGACGCTTAATGAAAACTCATTTGATACTTGAATTTCTAATGAGTTTCTAATGCGCACCAAGAAATCCTCTGTTCGAGACGAGTGCAGAAGCATGGCACGAAAGATGGAGACGGACTTTTTCCGAGAGCCAGTTGGCGACTGGTTGCCGAAACTGTGAGGTTATTCTTCAGAATCAAAACGAAACGAGCCTTGTTAGTACTCATAGCACAATTTAAAAAAATCTGTAATATCAGGTATATGAAAGTGTGAGATCCGATCAATTTTGTAGTCCAGTAATGAAAATCAACGACGAGGATAACCGTTAAGGTGAGGCTCCAAAATACTCAGATGACTTAAAATAATATACACCTGTGACTTGCTCTCAGCCCCGGAGCGTGTCTGGACTTGGTCATCAAAGTTCCAAGCATAACTTTGTATCCCGTGATTTATACAGACCGATTGCCTCAAATTATTGTCCAGTATTTAGCATGCAAGTGCGAAAACGATGCTTATAGTTTACACTCTAAAGAGCGCCTTGCGAGGTCACTTTGTTGCAGAATACCGAGACAGTCGTTCACGGGGAACAACTATAAGACCTTAGGGAATTACCAAGCTCAAAATATGTTTTAGACCCCCCCCCCCCCCAAAAAAAAAAAAAAAAAAATTCACGCAGGGACCATTAGCAAGAGAAACACCATGCCCATTGTCCCTGCGCACGCCACGTTTTTTTTTTTGTTTTTTTTTCTAGTTTTTTCTAATGATATTTTCAACACTTTTCATTCGCTGAGGTTCGTTTATTTCTCACCGTAATTGGCTGTCTTCCTGTTCTGCGGGAAAGTTAACCCGCAATCTTACTAAGCAGAGAGGCTTTGAAAAGAAAAGTTAGGATGAACCTCTTGATCAATCATTAAAGTGCTCCTATGAGCACCGCGTGACAACGCATTTCTGTGTAAGCTACTCTGCGTTCAGGCAATCCCAGCTAAAAATAATAAGGCCTTCGTGTGGCGTCATCGTGAGTGGATCCCCGACCGACCCGCCCCAAGCAGCAAACTCGCTGAAGCTAAACGAGAGACGCCGCGAAACGGCAGACGCGTTCGTCCTAGCGTCGCCGCCTGCTAACGTCGCGCTCGTTGTGAGACGCTGCAAGACGCGCTGGCGGCGACGCTGACGCAAGTCAGGCGGTGCTGCGTGGATCCACTTGTGATGGCGACAAAGGGAGGTGAGGCTCAGGACTTGTCTTCTAGGTGGTATTGGTTCAGGTCTAGGGGAGTCTAGCACATACAAGTGACCCAACTTAAAAGGAACGTGCGTCAATCGTACTTGGCCTTAGGGGACAGGTTGCGGGCCGTGTGGAAGACAGTCTGCAGGTCCTTGTTGTTCAGCTTGCGGAGGCTGAAGACGAGCTCGGTGAACATGCCTGGTGCGGAAGACTGAATGACCTCGCCGGAAGAATGGACGAGCTGGCGGAGAACTTCTTCAGCGCGGGCAAGGGTCCTTGCAGCTTCCTCGACATCGTAGTCGTGGTCGAAGAGCATGTCAGTCTCTGGAGCCGCGGTATAGACTGAAAGAACAGAACAGCAGAGACTTGACAGGACGAAGAGTGGAGTCCGTAAAAGACTTCTGCTTGGATACGCGCCGGGTTTAGTTTATTTCTCGACTAATACGCCACCCTTCTTCGACTTTTTCCGCGTGTCTCGGTGGTTACCCATTGAAAGGAACAGAAAGGAACCACCACATGTGCGCATGTTCTCGCCGGAGCTCAAATGTATCTTCTGTGACTGCCTGGAGTTGAGCTGGTTGGTTTTACATGCTTTGAAGGTTTCCAGCTGAAGGTATAAAGAAAAACGAAGGAAGGGAGAAAAACACAGCAGTGTGTGTCTCTTTTTTCTCCCCCCCCCCCCCCCCCCCCCCCCCCGTTTTTCGCTCTACGTTCAGCTGGAGACCTTCAGAAGCATGTATATTCTGGTAGCCATGGATCAGAATCCAACATAGCTTACCCTTAATAACAAACTAATCGAATTCGGTTGCAATAAGGCACGTGGCACATAAACGCTCACTCGCTGCTTTTTGGGGTCGAACGAGCAGGCAAAAGATTTATGTAGTCATGAAATATTTACAGCATAAATATATTGAAAGTGTCTGGAATTGCAACTGAAGTCCAATTTACACGTTGCCCACACACTAATGTATATTCGCCAGAATGCAGTCCTACTCAGTATATGAAGGCAACCGCAGTGACGACTACTCCCCATAGTAGAACTGCTGCCTAGCACATGCAGGAAACACTGGATGCAGTCTATGCATGGTAGCTTTGCTACATGCATAGAAAATGAAAGTAACTCACCGGTACGGGAAGGAACGCTGCGTCTCTGGGTGCGAAGCGTCATGCTCTGGAAGACGTTGGTGACGGCTCCGTTCTCTTGCCTCGAAAACGGACGTACCACGTGCTTCTCCTTACACTCGACCGACTCCAGGATGCTGTTCTTGTATGTCTGTTTACACTCCTGTTCACCCTTCACCACGGGCATGGACCGCAGATTCTGTGAAACGGCCAAAGACAAGCAGCAATCAAGACAGGAGTTCGCATTACTCCAGACGAAACAGTTTTGATGTTATCAGCATGAAGCTATAAAATACATGGCGGAGGGTCTCTAGTATTGAGATTCGAATACACCGTAAATATTATCATTCACTTAATAATTTTTTGTAATGCGCATGGGTAGCCAATCACTGATATCTTCGACGAGGGTTAAGAACTGTGAACAAATCGTGATGTTTATCTCAGGACTGAGAATGCTAAGACTAGCTCAGTGTATTCTCGCAGCTCTGCACAGTTTCTTTTGGCTAGTCTTCAGGAAGTGACAAAACGTGTTTCCACTGACACAAAAGGACAATTTCAGCTGAATTAATGTATAGCATATAGAACCAAAAACAGAGAGAGACCCTGCTCCGGAAGTTTAATGTACGAGGCATCAAACAGCTGTGTAGTTATCACTACTGTATTTGTCGTCCCTAGATAAACCTTTAATAACTTCTATCATCGCGTCTAGGAAAACCTTTCCATGCATATACTTCCCAGTAGAGTACTATAGAGCCAATCACTGCGATCTGCAATGACGGATCGGCGAATGACTTGACCGAACAGATGCCCTCAACCTACAAACAAAGACTACGATGTGGTATTGCGCTGGGAGGGAGCATGTGTAATGTCATGCTCAGTGTCAAAGAAAGGACTTCATTTTTAGGTCTAAACATACCTCCCGTCACGGCATTCACTGAGCTTCCTGAATTAATCCCAGTGATTGGCTCACCAAGTGTTCTGTTGTAAAACCGAGCTACAGATGTCTTCCGAGTTTTTCCTAACATTCCAGTTTTTGTTGGCACTCATTGTATCAGTTACAAGCTCGACGCCATTGGCCCCAGCACCACTGAGTATTGCGGCTTTGACGGGTGGTTATAATTTTTATGTGGCTAGATAAAGCTAGCAGCTGTTTTGTTTTATTACTTCCTCCTTTACTCCTGCTTACCATCGATCAAAGTGCAGTAGACGCTACGAGCCGCTGATGTCAATCAAAAGCGCCACCACAACGACAAAAAATTTAATTCTTTTTTTGTGCAGGTGCTATTTCCGGTTACACCGCTAAAGCGCAGTAAATGGGCGTGACCATGCACTTTTAGTTTTCAAGTTTGTGTTTATGTCGTCTATTTTGAGACTGCTCAGATTTCTGGCGAAACAGAAGCACCGATACCATTGTCTTTGATTTCGCTGGTCACTTACGCCTTCTTCCGCCGTGGCCTGCAGGGCGGTGATGCTGCTTTCGCGGTCCTTGCACTGGGAAAGATCCTTTGTCTTGCGGATGGTCAGGGACGTCCAGCCTTTGGGAAGGGTCTCGTACACAGTCGGACACTTTCCAGAGATGTCGACCTGGAGACATCGAGATAATATGTTTGTATTATGAGCAACTTTGTTCTACTCTTCGTTTTGAACACAGCAATATCAACATGATATTACTTTTTAAAATAATTTTAGGCCATTTTGGTTTGTGAGGATTGTCTCTGTGGAGGTGAGGTAGATTTAGGTTACGTTTAGGATACAAGGATTTAGGATACAAGGGTATCCTAAATAGCCCAAAAGCTTGGTACACTGCTGGGAAATATAACTGAACGCTTCGTTTAGGTTCAATTAGCGCTCACGGTGCCGAGAAGCTGCACTCTGTCTAGATTTACAACAGAAACGTGCATCCTTGATGGGCATCCAACCCGCTTTTAGATTAGGGTGTCCAGGCACTTTTACGATAGATTTTGTGACACCGCAAATAGGTGTTTTAGAAAAAAGGGAATAGAAAGGCTGCACTAAATGATAGAAGTACCAGTCTGATCATCATCTGAGAGACACCGATGACGATGTGTCAGAAACAGTAGAGATTTTCACAAAGAGCTCACCTCGACGATGTCCTCGTTGCCCTCGAGCCTCTGCATTGAGTTCTGGATCACCGAGAGGATACCCTTCTTGATGTTGAGCACACGTGGGCTATCTCCTTCAGAGGGACAGATGTTCTCGACGCGACCATCCTCGTAGGAGAACTTGAGCGGGTTCAGCTCAAGAGCCTGCTTGAGTTCGGCATGGCTTGGGGAAGGCCTTCGCCTACCAGGACTCGAAGGGTCTTGCTCTTCCAAGCTCGTACCCCGAATCTGCAAAATCATTGACAGAAAGGCGTTACTACGAACTCGCGCCTTAATTTAGGCGCTGACGTAGATAAGAGAAAGCGGATTCAAACAAGCTTCATATTATACTGTTTTTTCTTATCGCATTACACTGAGTCATGAAACAAATTTAAATGCCGTATTGAAGCAGAAGTGACACAAAGGTCTTCTGGCTATGATCAAAAATAGATTCCCATAACACCGACTGGTGCCTTTGGAACCAGTACAAACATCTTTGATGCTTTTCGTCGCGAGCCATTCTAGTCATTTGCATAAAGGACAGCAAAAAGAAACAAAGTGACGAATAATGGCGTAGCGTTGCTTTTGGGAGTTGGGGCGTATTCAACTGAGTCGCTCCTTTAACACAAAGTCAAGGCCGAAGTTCGTAGAGCCCATTCAAACAACCTTTGCGACAACGCTACGATGTCATTGTAGCAACTTACCAATAGACGCGCTCCATGAACTCCAATCCCAACTTTGCGGTTGGCGGGTCTAGGGCCCCTGTAGTAACCGACAGCCGTAAAACCGGCGGGCGTGGCACATATCGGCCACCTCAATATCGATCAACACGCAGCCGAAACCAGCGGCTACGTGATCTGGAGCCTAATATATTCCGCCACTGTTTATCGTAAACACGCGCTCGGGTTGGCAAAGCACAGGACACGCGCCGAGTTACACACATTGTTAAGGTTCGGCTATTGTCGTCATTGCGGCGATTGACACGATACACTAAACGAATCCTTGTAGAGCTATTGAGTAGTATTGATTATCACAAGACTAAATCAAGTACTCGCGCAATGCTCGGGTCCAATCTACGAGCCGCATTCAAATATCGTCACTGGGGGACTATGACAACACAGCGACCTCCAAGCATCAAGTTTCGCGAAGGGGAAATTGAAGAAAGACGATCGCTTTTATTCTTGAAATCACACCGCAGCAAAGCAGTTTCTTGGTCAGTGGTGTTGTGTGCGTATATACTTGGGTTCCATTAATGCCGGTAAGCTCGTGTAAAGTGAAAAAAGAAGCATTCCAACTGGGTATAGTTGCATCGCCCCATTAAGGTTGATCACTCACCTGGATGGTGAAGTCGCATCCTCCGAGAGACTCGAGTTCGACCTGGCAGGAGAGGTAGACGGCCGCCTTGTCGGACGTCGTTCCCTGCATCGACGTTTCCGTCGAGGTCGTGTAGCTGTAGACATACGTGGTGCCGGGCTTGTAGTCAAATTTTCGACTCTCTGCGTGAAAGAGAACAGGTGCTGTAGTGCATGCTGGTTCTGGTCGACTGTAAAGCTTGCCGACACGGATACTGAAGCGTAGAGTTGTTGAACACAGCCTATAATTCTATATTTAATATTTTAGAGCGCAGCTCTTAGGCGCCCGTTTCCGGGTTGAGCAACGTCGGCGTCGGCGTAAGCGCACGCGTTGCGTTACGGGACGTCACAGCTTCTCTCTAAATTTAGCGGGGAAACTGAATTGCTGTGGAGGTCACATGACGTCAATTTTCCCGCTAAATTTAGCGGGAAATTTTTTTTCTACATTTTTCGCTAAATTTGGCGGGAAAATTTTCGCTAAATTGCCCGCTAAATTTAGCGTCAAATTTAGCAAAATGTTTCCGCTAAATGGAAGAGAGAGAGGAGGAAGGGAGGGTACAAAGGGGCATACGGTCCCCTCCGTACCCTTCCCTACTCCTCCTCAAGAGCCGCGCTCTAATTTCGCATTAGAGAAAACTGTAAACTCTCACTTTTGGCCTATATCATAGGGAGTTTTCGTAGATCGTTTTCGCCGTCACGCAATGCTCTCCGCCGCCCTCTACGATACCCGGAAGTCTACAGTCAAGGCCATCGGCGCGCAGGCGCAGTAGCGGCCTCATCATTGCGGGGGGACTAGCGGAGGGGGAAACGCGGTCTACGAAAACTCCCTATAATCGACTAACGTTCGAGTATTTTATACAAAGGTCTTGGTAGTATGTAGGTTTCTGAGTCAGTGAGCTGTGCATTTTCTTGCTTCTGTTTTGACAGCTGATTTACACTTAAAGTACGAACACTTGCGATAAAAATATACGCCTCTGCTGAGTTGTATGCATGGGCTTAAACATGCATCACTCAATTTTGTAGAAATATATTTTCTTTGATCGTATAAAGCACGAACTTCGCTTAAAGTCCAGTCATTAAATTTTTTGAAAATAAATTTAGACATTGCGAAGCGACGGTTAACTTAGAGAATATTGATTAAATCGTGTAAATATCTTAACTCTAAATTATAGCATTAAAGAGAAACGGTGAAAGCCTAAGCACCTAAATACAGGACGTTACCCTACAGAATTGGTCAGGTAAAAATTGTTTGTTTATTCTCACTCCGACCGTATAGACCAACACGCGGCTCTGACGTCACGCAGCTGCAATGGCGCTGTCGACGGCACTTCGCATGCGCAGACGCTTCACGCGAATCTGGTTTCTGCGCATGCGCAGTGCCCACACCTGATGTGGGCAAACGTGGGCTTGTTTGTAAACAGCGTGTTGGTCTATAGATAATGAAGAATCCGATGAGCATAAACAAGGAGTTATTCAATGTGATAAGTTCCTAATTCCCACTCGTCTGCTTGCCCAACATTATAGCAAATTGACTTGAAAAGTGATTTCATTGACGTGATCTTAACACTTACCAGTACAATGCCTAGAACAGGTGCCACTTCGGTCCACCGGGCCTGCAAAAAGAAACAAGGAAATTTCCTAATGTGAGTTGTGAAACAATTGAAAGCGTGTTTCATATTTATACTCATTACGGCTAGCATGAAGTATTTAGAGGCCAAACAAGACGAGACAGGTCAAACGTTCGACCAGCCTTTGTTGTTTGTCATAAAAAACAAATGACAACTGGCTTCTGAGGTCACCATAGTCCCCTGGAGTAACTCAAAACAAGGGTCATTGCGTCTATTATTCTGCAGAAAACTTGCCAAGTCAATTACTAAAATGCACAAAGAAAATCTGGTAATTGACGAGACGCCTTAAAAACAACTAAGAAAAAAAATTGGTGTAACCTATAGATTTTGTTTTTGCTCTGACGCAGCAAGTCGTGAGCTGATTCTACGAAAATCGCATCGCAGATCTCATTTTTAAGTGAAAATTACTTTTTCAAAAACTACCGTTCGTCCAGCCCCTATAATTAGCGTGTTTGTTTTGCTGAGTTACAGGTGGCAAAAATAAACGGCACACTACATTTAATTCCTCTTTCTCACGAGAATTTCTGACTGTTTTTTTCAGTGGCACTCTCTAAAGTTTTGTCCCAGTTCCTTAACCAGTTATTTCTACCAGCTCTTTCTGCTAGGTTTTTCTACCAGTTCCTTTTACTAGTTTTTTTTTGTTTTTGCACTGGTCTTTGCTATTAGTTCGTTTTTAGCAGTTCCTTCCAACAGTTCTTTCTAACCGTCATTTTCACCAATATCTACCATCAGTTATTTCTATCAGTTTCTTCTACCAGTATTCTCTACAAATTCCCTCTACCGGCTTCCTCTGCTACTTCTTTTTACAAGTTTCTTCTATAAAATATTTCTACCAATTTCTATCACCAGTGTTATCTACCAGTGCTTTCCACAAGTTCTTTCTACCATCTTTACCAGTTCTTTCTATGAATTCCTTCCACTAGTTTATTCTACCAGTTCTCTCTACAAAACTCCTTCAGCCAGTTTTTCTACCAGTTATTTCTACCACTTCTACCTATTCCTTCTACCAGTTTTTTCTAGCAGTTTTCTACCCGTTTTTTCTGCCAGTTATTTCTACCTGATCCTTGTACCAGTTCCTTCTACCAGTTCTATGTACCAGTTTTTAGTACCACCTTCTACCTATTCATTGTACAAGTTTTTCTACCAATTCTTTCCACCAGTTTCTTCTACCACTTCTCTTCTTATCATTTTTTTCTTAGCAATTCTATCCACCACTTCTTTGTACCAGTCCTTTGTACAGTTCTTTCTACCAGTTATTTCTACCACATCCTTGTACCAGTTCTTTCCATAAGTTGTTACTACCAATTTTTCTATGACTTTATTTATTTATTTGCTTTACCCTTAAGGCCCGAAAACAATACAGAGGGGGAAGGCAAAGTTGGGATCAAAATAATGTACAGTCACTCATACTCAAGAGAAAAATGATTGGCTAGAGCAGACCTAAAGAAATTGACAGAGACACTTAAGACTGCTTACGTGTAGGAATGCTATCGCATTCCTACACGCCGCGCATTTCTACAAACAGCGCGCCACGTCTTCCTTTTCCAAACGACGCTCCGGCGGTGAGATCACGCTCCCCGCTGTAATATGTATTAAAAAACCTGTCCCTTCTAGCCAATGCTTTCCACCAGTTCTTTGTACCAATTCCTTCTACCAGTTCTTTCTACTAGTTCTCTTAATCAGTTATTTGGACCAGCTTTCTCTCAGTTTGTTCTACCGGTTTTTTTCTTCCATGCAGACCTTTTTACCTGTACTTTCTACCAGTGTTTTCCACCCGATCTTCTGTCCAATTCTTTTTACGAGATCTTTCTACCAGTTCTTTCTACCCGCTCCCCACTACTTTCGTGCATTGTTTCGTCTGCATCTTCAGTGACAGGTTGAGAGGTCAGGAGAACCTCCTCCCACCCCTCTCTACCTTAACGGAGCGAACGCAGGCGGGGAGATTGCCTCCTTCCCAGCGCTCGCTCTGCTTAAGTGCAAAGGGATGAGAGGAGTTTTCCCATGATGCATAACCTGTCACTGACTACAGGTTCGTACGTCTTTGAAAATATCTCAGCCATTTCAATTTCCGCGGAAATCTGTCAGGGTTTTCAACTCGACCCAATTGTCTCTTCTATAATGTCTTCTTTGCCACTCAAAAAAATGACTTGAAAAAGATCTGGAGCACAAGAAGCGCTCTCGGTGCACGTCTAATCGCGAGTCTTTTTTTTTCTTTTCTTTTCTTTTTCAGCGCACACTCGAAGCATTACCGCACTGCCAGCAGCACCCAGCCAGTCAGTCAGCCTTTGTTCGTTGTTCCAGCGCAAGCAAAGAAAGATCGCCGTATCAGGCACTTGAAGGGCTCCGGTCGTCGTCGTCGTCGCTTGTGTCCGCAGAAGCAGTATTGTTGCATTGTCGAGCCTTCGATCCGATAAGCAATATTTACTGGAGTCGGCACCGAGAGCTGTCCCCTTCGACCTTCTGATACAGGCCCGCGTTCGTTTGCTTTTGGGAACGAAATCGGCGCGCTTTGCGAACGTCTGGGCAGGCTGTCGAGCGAATATTTCAAGTGTAACGGTCTTTGAGCGCAGCTTTTGGCGTCCCGTATTTGCGGAAATAAAAACAATGATAATATGGGTAATCGAAACCTTTCGCTGGTGGATAAGTAAAAACTAAACAAACAAAAAAGGGGCGAATTTCTCAATTTTTTGAATAATTAAACTACTGATAACCAATAATAAAAAACACATATTAAAAATATCGGATTTTCTTTTCCCAAATTAACGCGAAGTAGTCGGGCCCTCGAAATATAAGACATTATTGGTGTAATGAAGTCTTCCCGGAACTACGCGCTATCGACATCAAAATCATAATAACATTTCACGTACACTAATAAATTAACTAATATTGCGAGTTAAAACATTAATAATTACATTATAATTGTATTATAATTACCTTATAATTGCAATATAATTTTGCAATCTAGGCTAAAGTGAGAAGTAAGTATAATTTCGTCGCTATGCCACTGTCAAACATGCAAGCCAGCATGTGAGAGCTTACGCTAGACTGTAGTTACTATCCGCTTATAAGTGCACATGCTTTGTGAGCTTCTGCAATATTGCATTCTTGCTAAAAGAAATAAGCACGTGACGTATCGTTCTTTGCGTTGTGACTGCGCAACGGGAACACCAATCATGTATGCGTTCATTCCTGTCCAAAATACGGCCTGCAAGCAAGCGTAAAGAACATGTCACTTGCGCATCAGAACTTGAGCAAGAACGTACTGATCACGTGACAAGCGTTAATGAGGTCTACCCAAGCGAATTCAATGGTTGAATTGAATTGTAGGAAGATAAAGTCACGTGTAGGTATCAACTACACTACGGGGTTTGATCGAAAAAAAGTAAACACAGCTTTTAGCCCGCGTGAATAAGCTACACTTCGCAGAAAGCTGAACCTCCGTGACAATGTGTGGCTAGTGCAGTGATGATAAATTGCGATATTTTGACTACATGACGTCGCTTGGACCGAAAGATAATACAGGAAAAAGAAAATTTACCTACGAGCCGATGTACACTTAAGCCACATTTCCATCGAACCAAAATTCGAGGTTGTGGGTGGCTGTATCAAATTATGTCAGTGAAAATCTTGTGAGCATGAAAGAACATAGTATCGTCTTTCTAAGTTTCCATGTATGACAAATCAACACATGGATAACACTGTTCTGATTTTTTTTTTTTTCATTCTACTCAGGTATATAATAAAAAGCAGGGGCGATAGCGAACAACCCTACCTGAGTCCTTTTCTCTTTTTTTTCTGTCAGTTTTGGTAGTTCTGCATTGCATGTTATAACAACTTTATTATTTGTGCATACCTGTTGTAAAAGGCTAACCAAATGTGCAGCTAAATCATACTTTCTAAGTTTTACCCAAAGTTTTTCCTCACCTGCATTGTCTTACGCCCCTTTAATGTTTAAAAATGCTACCCATAACGGTTTTTTACTCATCCGTGCCACGTTTATAGATTAAGTGATGAATAAGTTGTCTTCTAACCTTCTATTTCTTCAAAACCCGTTTTGTAGCTCACCTAGAACGCTTTCTGCTCATTCTTCCATTATCATTTCTTCTACGTGCGAGCACCAGTGTTGCTTGATGGAGATTTTGACAAGGGTTTATTATCGTGCACGCGTTGACATTTCTACGAGGCAGAGACCTTCTTCGAGTGCCTGCGTTTCCAAGGAAAACAGATAACGGCCAATACGGATAAGAGAGGCTCGATAGTTGATAATGAAGTCTCGGCGTAGATGATAAGTGCTGTGATTTTCCGAGGCGTTCGGGTAAGCTGCTGCCATTCGTATTACGACAGGCCCAGCTTCTTCGCATTTTTTTGTCGGGAGAGTTTTTACAGCGGAGTTGCTAAGGGCTAGTTTCTCCAGGATCGTGTCCCCCGCAAAGAAATGAAGACACCGAACTCTGGACACCCACCGCCATCTACGAGCGACGGCGGCAAACCACGTATCTGGTTGCCGCCGTCGCTCATAGATGGCGGCAGCCTTTCCACTCTGACTTGCCGACTTCCGGTCGGCCATTACTTTCCGTTGTACAACTCCGCTGGTCTTCCTTCTTCACCGGAGTGAAAAGGCTGAAAGATTTTTTTTTTAAAGTAATATTTTAGGAGTTATGAAATCGATGAATGCAACTTTGTGATAATAATATTTGGTTTACTTGGTATAGTGCGGCAAATAACACTTTCTTTTAGCCGTCGTTTTGTTATCCAAATGTATGATTTCGTATCTTAGACAAAATTGAGGGAGGCGCAGTTTTAAACATTAACGCTGCCTAACGAAAAATAAAAACAGTATAAACTTCAAAAAAACATCCTAAAATAAACTTTTTGTAACATATTTGGAACCAGCTAAGAGGTTCGAGGAGTAACGGCGACTCAATCTAACCGCAATTTAAACCCGAGGGCGAGATTACAGGGTTAGCTAGCACTTTCTCTATAAGGCAGTTAAGCTCTGTAAAAAAAAAAAAAAAAAGAATATATTATTTTCCTCCTTCACCCTTTCTTTCTCACTCACCACACTTTCTCGTAATCTAAAACTCAGTCCCAGTCGAAGTGGACTGTTCCATCGTGGCTGAAAAAGGTCTTGATCGTGTCACTGATCGTCGTCTCCATTCTTTCGAAGAATATCTCAACAAGCATTCGCGATAAATCTCAGCTTCATTTAATCTCATTCACATCCCATTGTTCTTTCAACACTCTTATGTTTTCGATGCACACGAGTATCGAGCGAGACGCTTTTCCATCGAGTTTTCTCGGCGAAACTTGGCGACTTGTCCTTCCAAGGACCTCTGAACGCTGCCAGGGGACTGCGCAGTCAGCGACCATATCGTCCATATCTGCTTACAAGATTGGACTCTCTGGCGCAGCCAGCTTTCTTCTTTTTTTTCTTCTCGTATTTTTCTTTTGTCGAGTCACGTGCGAAATGTTAGACGACGTGCTGAGAAGGCGCGGAGAAAAAAAAAGGGAAGAAAAATAACAGTTGGCGATCGTGTTTCTGTTATTCGTATTTGTTTCGAAGACGCTTCCCGGGTTGTGAGTCAGCTTGGCGAGATAAAAATGTACCGTCGTTCTACGCTGATAATACGGGTGTATTATGAGCTTTTTTTAATTTTATTTTGTGCCACTTATAGCTTCAGATGTACAGATACGTGAAATATTAATAGAAACTATTCGTTGGAAAAAAAGGAATAAAAAACTATAGCATGCTCACCGCTGAGCTTGACAGAGGGGGAATCTACGTGTTCGGCGGAATAATTATTTCCCTTTCCTTTCTCGCTCGACCGGGCTGTATGCGTGACTTTAAGGGATTAAAAGCCAGTGACCGGCTGGTCCAAACGTCACGTAGCTTCCACCGCCTTCTCAGCTCAGTGGTCTATCGACTCTACGGCTAGAAATTCTGGGAGAGGAGGAGAAGGGGGCGCGCAGGGACCTCTTCTGACGTTCCTGTCTCCTCTCCTGCTTTTACGCACTGAAAGCTCAGTGAATAGACCGATCTCACCAAGCGCTCGACGCATGCGCGAGGCAGCCATAACTTTAGTTCACAGGAAGCAATCGGCAGTGCACGAGACTGTTCGTGCCCTGCACGCGCAGAGTTCAAGCGAGGTTGTCGCACGCGCAGCAAGATTAAAGTTCCCTCGATGCTTTGCGGCAGCGGTGGTGTAGTCAAACTGGCTGGTGAGATCGGTCTATCGCTTGGCATCTATCTCCTTGTTTTTTGTGTGCTTTTTTCTAAACGGATATTTTCTTTGATGCCTGCTTCAAAGCCGAAACTTCCGTAAAAAAAAAACACGGCAGTCTGGTAGAGAGTGGCTTGGCAAAGAGCGAAAGTTACGGTCCTCTCCAGCCAATCAGAGAGAGAGACAGACGGAACAGAGCACGTGACAGCTGTCCCTGGGAGTAGAGAGCTCTGTCACTGGGCCGTCACGTGCCTCTTTCTTATTTTCTGATTGGCTCTCTAAGGCCGCAGCTTTAGCCGTTTTCCACGTTGTGGGGGAGCGGGCGTGCACGTTGTCGTAGTTCCGCATTTCTACGGGTGTTTGCGATACCAGCGGCTCGAGCGAAAAAACAAAAACAAAAAGTATCTTCATCATATCGTCCAGACAGAGTTGGCGTCGGCTCGCGTTCGTGTTTGCTTCTTTTTATATGATTTTTTTTTTCACACTTTTCAGTTGATACGGCCCGAATGTAATTGATATAACAAACTGACGGTATTGTTGAAGGTTGTCTCTGGTGGTGTCACTTAAGATCGCCCCGCGGTACAAAATCTCCCTGAGTGTTTTGTCTAAAAGGTTTAGCTAAAACGCTACTGATTTGTTAGCAGGTTTGGTTAAGCTTCAGCGTCAACATGATCACCAGGGTTGTCTTCTCATTGGAAAATTAATTACTGTCAGTCATATCGCAAATGAAATGATGTGGCGATCGTATATCAATGCTGTATCGTGCAACACCTTGCTGGCTTGAGACAATTAAGAAATGTTTCGCTTTGCTTCCCCGTGTATCTATCATTTACAGAATAGATGTTTGTGATGGCTTCAGCATAAAGCTTTCTGAATAATATAGAAACTTTATTAATGGTGCGCAATCTATGAATTGCAAAGAAATTTTTTTTAAGTCACGAGGGAATGAAATTGTGCCTCAGCTTTTTTTAAGTGATTGTTTCAACTTTCTACGACATGTTTCTTTCAGCTTCGAGCACCGTATAATTATTATTGGGGAGGCTTCTCAGTAATACACACAAGACAAAGGTGAGCCAAATAAAATCTAAAGCAATTTTACACAATTAGCTAGTATTTGCATTAATCACATTTTCAGATCTCTTCCAGCACTTTTAGGCACAAAATGGAACATTTAGTTTCCTCTGTTTTTTAATACGTTACAAGCATCACATTTTTTTAGAAAATCAGTAAGATTACCAACCACAGCTAAAAAAACTCAACCTATCCACAGTTATCACAAACCGCGCTGTAATGCCTTCTTATAGTTATTAAAATCGAAAGCACAAAGTAACCACCACAACGTTCTATGGATGCTATCGGCCTCTCAGCTTTAAAAGGCACTTTGCTGCAGCGTGGAAACCTCAAGCATCGCCTTATTTTTCGCCGCCTTAAAAGTGCAGACTCATGATTTTGAATTACGCGCGTCGTTCATTCGTTTTGCTATTGCTCCCCCCCCCCCCTCCTCCTCGGCCCCCCATGGCTTGTTATACCACCAGTACAGTTATTATTACGTCGCCATTTGTTTTGTCTGGAATTTTGACTATTAATGCCACTTAGAAGCTAAGCCTACTTCAACCGACTCTTGAACGTGCGGAATGCTTATTGATATAGTTGAGCACGGCGAAACAATAGGCGACTATCGCTGCCTACCGTAAGCGAAAACATGTGTATGTCGCAGTCGAATCTGTAATCAAAATTCTCAAGGTTGATAGTGCTCAAGCGATTCCGGCCCGCAAAAGTTGTATAGAAAGCTGGATTCTACAGCCGCTTTGAATACGAATGCAAGAATTCAATGCATGGTTGGCATCGACACTTCTTAAAGGCGCTTGGCTGTCGGTGGTTTTTTAGCGTCTAAATTAGGTTAAATTTGTAATAGAGTTCGTCCAAATATCGTTGACTGCTTACGCATCCTAATTAGCACTTACAATAGCCGATTGCGCATACTATTGTGCATATTTTTTGTTTATTGCAAGAAGAGCTAAAAGCAGAAATACTTTTCTTTTTGCTGGTACTTCTCCTGTAGAAATGTACTAGATTGAAACATGCCGAAATACAAACTAATTTCTTGGTTTGGTATGCTATCTGAATGAACCCTTGACTAAACAGTAGCCGTCTCATAATAACATTTGGTGTGACTATCGTTTTTTATCCAGTATAAAAAAAGCCATTTGCCTTCTACTTTACCCAGAATGCCTCGGAAGCATGAAATAAATCAGTACAGACGATCCGTCCACTACAGATCATTAACGCTGTGTAACGAAACAAACGAATATTCTCTCATGGTAATAGTGCCATTATTCATTCATTATTACTTCCGTCAAATGTAACGGGCCTTTTAAACTGCTTCCCTCTTTAACTGGAACGAGGAGAATTCGTGCTTTAAATCTACTTTTCCAGAAAATACGTGCACTTTTGAATCATTAGCCAGTTCGTGACGTCGTTCACAATACTGGCGACGAGGATGGGATCAGGGGATGTATACTCAACGGCTGTACGTAGTGAACCCGGGTAAATCCAGTTCCTACCTGCGAAGGCCACGGCGGCGCAGGCTAGTAGTACGGCTGTCTTCATGATGGTCACAACAAGTTACATCCGTTGGTCCTCAAGGGACGTTCGTCTGGCGGTTGGCTGTGCTCGAAGCACGCCGTTGAAGCTGGCTGGCTGGTGGCGTAGAATTGCTTGAGAGGATGAAGATGAAACGTTGAATGAAATAAAACGCGTGTTTGGCGTATGCCGCCGTCAACCGCGTATGGCCCCGGCCCCGCGCGCTCATGAGGCTTATATCGTCGTGCAAACTTTGCACTTCGTTGATTGGTTCATCCTGGAAAAGGGGAGGGTCTTCTGGAGATATGAAGGATGTGTTCGTTGGGAGAAGGTAGGGAGGGAAGGTGAAGATAGGAAAGGGATTCCCTGGTCTTTCCTTCTTTTCTACCGTCTCTTTTGTCTCGCTCTCCTTTTCTCTCTTTCTCTTTGAGGTTTCGGAGTTGGAACTCGGGTCTTGAGAGATCTACCTCCTGAAGTACCGCTTCGACGGGCAGCCAGCGCGCCGGCCGGTTGGAGTGCTTGAAGCCTTATCGAATCGAAGCTTCGAGGTTCTCCTGCTGCTGAGGCCGTCACTCTGTTCTTTCTCGCACATTCTGTTCATCCTCTATCGCCGGCTTCTGTCAGGCCTATTTTTCTTTCTTTCTTATCTCACATACTTCTCGTTTTATATGTATAGGGATTTACGTAGAACTTGCTATGGGCCTCTGTGACTATAGGGTTACAGCAGGGACGTTTAACGATTGTTGAATCTTATACCTGCATCGTGACTGATATACGGTTTAGCCCTAGAGATGCTGAGATTGAAAATACACAAGGTTCATCAACGCTCCAATTATTATTCAGTTTAAAGTGCCGGTTAACCCGGAGTCTAATAAGTTGCGCTATCTAAACCATGCTTCTTAGCTTGTCCAGCTTACCCTGCAACCCCCCTTTAAAGGGCTCGTTTCTCAGTCCATTTTTTTTTTTTTTTGTTGCACGCCTGGGTTTAATTTGGTTTCCTCTTTAACATAGTTACCTTGTACTCTGGAATCTTATCTAACGTTGAGCACCGTTTGAACGGTCCTTTCTTTCCTCTCTTCGCCCCCCCCCCCTTTCCTTGCAAACGTCCTTGTGTTCTTGGGCGCCTTGCAGAATTGTGATACAGTTCGTAATTCTAGAGATTAGTTCGTGCACACCCACGTGCTCACTCTGCATGCTTGCCTCTTTCCCCGTTTTACCTGCCCGGCGGTGATACGGCGTGCTCTATTGTTTCTCGGGATGTTTGTTTGTTCCGTGGTGGACGTTGCCACGCTGTCGTTGGGATTCACTGTCGCTGTGCGTCGCGAAACGTCACCCCTTTTCCGTTTTCGGCCCGCTGTCGCTGCTGCCGCCCCCTACCCTCTTGGACCGCGTGCCGTCAAAGCCGATAACGCGTCCCTGGCGTACGCACTTTCGCGTGTTGAGCCGCAGTCACCCCGCGCCTACATCATACAAAAGGACACGGAGTTCTCCGCAGACACGGAGTTCTCCGCAGACACGGCGACAAATTTATCCGCGGACTTGCTTCAGGCAGGCTCAAAGTAGATGTCTGCCTCACACGTTTGTCTCGGAGCCCGGAGGAAGATGGCGCAAGTTTCGGCAAAGGGAGCAAAAGAAAGAACGCGAGGGCCGCCATCGTCCCGACTCCTGGCCGCCGAGGCTTCTGTGGGCGATCGAGCTGAAGACCCAAGCAGCAGAGATTTGGCCAATCATTGGACCAAAGGCTGGCAATGGTCCTTTGGCCAGTGGCATTCCATTGGCAGATTGCTGGCCTTTTTTCGGCCATTGGCTACTGGCCATCAGCCATCGTCTAAGCATTGGCCGATGAATGGCCACTCTTTGTCCATTGGCCAAAAGACCATTCCCAGCCATTGGCCAATGCATGGCCGAAATCCATGCTGCTTATGGAGCGACCTGCAGTACAGAGAACAGTAATCTGCCGCATACACTTGTGCCGCTGCACAACCGCCAGGTTCGCGGCACGCAAAAACGTGACACTTTTGTGACGTCATTACACGGTATGATTGAGGGACCGATGATGTGGGCGCTGTAAGCACACTATGTCGGAGATACGTTTGGGGCACCACGGGGAAAAAAAACACTAAGTCGGCATTCGCGCTGCTATACATCGCGCAATAGACAATTAGCAAACACGGTCCGCGTTTTTTTTTTTTTTGTATTATGGTTTTGTTAGATTGGTTGTACAAGCGACTGTCTTTAAAGATGTGCTAGCCATAGAACTATATAAAGCAAGTGCTCGAACGAGGATCGAAAAGTGCGAAACATTTGCATAAATGTACAATTTGAAAAAAAAAAGGAGGCAGGAACAACGCGTGCAACTTTTTCACGTTTTGGCAGGCTTGTCGACTGGTGAAACGAGTGTTTCGCCAGTCCGCGTCATCTGAAATGACTCCGGGACAAAGCCTTCGGCCAATGGGTTTCTCTCGAGATGGAAAGAGTTAATGGGAGGCTGAGTAATATATTTGTTTCGTTAATTTTGGCGGGGGGGGGGGGGGGGACAGTGTTGTTGTTCCTCCTCGATGGTGGGAAACGAACGTCAGCAGAGAGACAGTTATCGTCGAGGCTTGTCTGATTCTGGGGTCGTGTCGTGTTCGGGGCGAGGGAGGTCCCCGGCTAGAATGGCGGCACTCGATGGATGAGTGATACGCACGACTACCCGAAGTTCCACGGTTTCCCTTTAAGACACGTGGTCAAATAATAATAAAAAAAAGGAAATTAGCACACACACACACACACAAATAAAAAGTATGCAGTCTCTGCCGTTGTTTTTATTAAAATTACAATAATATTAATAACTTCTTTATTTGTTTCATTTTAGAAATAGAAGTAGGGGACCCGAACAAAAAGCTGCAATGGCAGCTTGAACGGGGGTCCGGGCTTCCTTTACAGCAGACGAAATTCAACAAACACTACTTTACAAAAGAAAAAAAAAAACGGTACAGCAATCAAATGAAACACACGGCGTGTCACTGACGAAAGCACAGACAAATACAACATAAAGAACAAGAAGGTAGCATTCAGTACTATGTTAGTTCGCATTATGTTAGTATAAGGGTTCTTTGTTTTTGTCATTTTGTTAACATTTCTAAACTTCTTTTCCATTCAAACCTTGCCTAAAACTTCCAGGTTTTTTTGTTTTTTTTTATTATTTTGGGAGCAATGGACTCTTTTTATTAAAATTCGCGCCACCTAGTAGCTGCTCCGCCAATTGTGCGCGTTCGCCATTTCTTCGGGTGCGTACTGGAATCACGTCTTGGATACGATTGTGACGTCAGTGTTCGGCGAGGACTCGGGCCCAATCACGCGCTTCGTGTCCAAGAAATGGTGACCACCAATGTTGCTCGATGAACTTTTGAAAAAGGTCCTATAGGCCTCCTGCTTCGCCTAGGAGACTGCGGAAAAAGGAAAAACCGGCTTGTAGCCCTCCCTGCGATTTGTTTATCAATATTGAGTAGTACAAGCTTGCGCATTTTGAATTTGTACCGGGTGTAAACTAGGGCTGGGCGTCGATTAAAAATTTTAAACCGATTAATCGCCACCATTTAATCGATTAATTAAACGATAATTCGATTGCGTTGATTTTTATAAGTAATATATTAAAAAGAATGGCAACAACTTGTCTTTCCTTTGAAGACTTATTTTACTCTCTGTTACACAGCGCAAAGGACATTTACAAATTAGGATACATATAGTTCAACGATTCAAAGACTCACATATTTTTGCTCCATCTCCGAAGATAAAGAAGTGTGTCCACGTTCCCCGACAGGAAGACAAGAAGTTCAGTTTAAAGGAGCGGTGCAACGATATTCAATTGAAATGTTTTTCACTTTACACAAGCTTACTGGCACTAGTGGGACTCATGGATACTCACACGCAACGCCACTGGCCAAGAGACTCCTCTGTTGCGGTGTATTTTCAAGGACAAAAGCGATCGTTTACATTTAATCTCTCCTTTGCGAAATTTGATGACGTATTGTGGGGATCGCAGTACATCCCAATGACGATATTTGAATGCGTTTCATAGAGTGGACCCGAGCATTGCGTGGGCACTCAATGGACTGCTTCCAAAACCGACGCGCCCCATCGCGGCGAAATACCACGCAGTGCACTCTGGGAACTAGTTGGCCACTCAGTTTCGGTTTCGACTCAGCAGCTTCATCTCATGGTATCGCGCCGCGTCCGAACGCGCTGATTGCGTTTTCGATTATCTGACTTTTCACGAATGTACAATAAACTCATTCTCGAGCAATACAAAACGAAGACCGGGGCACTTTCCCTGGTTCCCGAAACACCGGATATTGTGCGTGCGTATGCAAACTTAGTAAGACGTGGCCTAGTCACCTCACCCCACGAGTGCGTCTTTGAGTTCAATTTCAGTAATCCCGTCTAGTACCAGTGAACTACAACTGAAAATTGGTCACCTTGAACCTTGCACGTATTTTGCTTGCCAAACGTCCGCTTCTTGTTACTTCATTGGGCGAAAAGCAAGCCGCATCCTCACAGGAGTATCAACATTGAGCTTTTCAGGAAACGCAATAAATTCGACCTCACTACTGTACAAAAGTTACTATGATGTCTTCCTCGTGTCATCATATACCTCCCACTCAAATTTTTTGCTGATAGAAGATTAAGTTTTCGCAAACACTGTGATCGGCTAGCTACGACGGAGGCCCTAACAAGAGTCCCCTACTCCTCGGTAAGCCTTTTTGCACGAGCTTTTCCTGACGCCCAAGATCTGTGCCTGAGCGGTGTGTCTGAAATTATCTCGGCATACTCAGTCAGGAAGGAAGCAAACACATAACAAATATTATAGCCCTTAGCAACCGTCAAATGCGCTTTGAATGAATTCGTTCGTTTGGCGCACCGCATATTGGTTTTGTTCATGCCCGTCCGGCGCATTTCCGGCGAATGGTGTGACATTCTTCACACAAGTGCTCGACTTTTGCTTTCTTAAAACGGTTTGTATGTGCGACTGTGCCTATATGATTGCAGGATAACTGTTTGCGC